GACAGGATTCAGTTCATCGCTAGTTTAGTCTGTCGTAGGTACGAGTGCATTCGCTTCTAGTGCTCGTACTGCCCGGTGGATGTTGCAACTACCCATGACCTGCTGCATTGAGTTTTTCTTTTAGTCTGAGTGACTGCTATGAGCCTTCCGATAATGGCTTTTGCAATCGATCTGTGGTCAATACCGCCCCCAGGTAGGTACTGTGCGCACCCGAGCGATTTTCGCATCTCACTCACATTCTACATCACTGCATCCAACGAAGAGGAACGAAATAGAAGAGTTGTGAAAATATCCAGTATTTTTGACGAGATGAATATTCTCCGTCACACACTACATCTCACCTTGATTCTCAATTAATACTTCGCACTTTACCCGGCGCGTGGCGCCTTTGTATATTGCGAGAGCGGGGGTAACACAACTATGGAATTGCTTTTTTTTTTTGGGGCCTCACATCAAAAACATCTGGGGATGGAGGAGATCTAGATCCTCATAGACCACCGGTGCGTCCCCGAATATAAACTGTCACCGTTCAGTAACCCCCGGGGGGGGGGGGCCCCTTTTCTTTGGGGTAGATGGAAATTGGGGGGGGGGGGGGGGAGACAAGCCTGAATCCGCTCTTTGGAGAGATCTGGTGTCAGTGGCGAGACCTGAGCTCCGACAAGAGTATTTAGCATTCCCTTATCCTTCCTCCAAACCTTCTTGCTAAGGGGGGATGTTGCAGGAGCGGCAGTAGGAACACCCATATTTTTTGGCAACATCTATTGAAACCCCTAAGGCGCAAGTTCGCGTTTCTTCAGCTCTAGTTAATACGTTTCCTAAAGTGGCGCTATTAGGGGCCCGAAATGTGGTTTTCTGCCGCTTTCTACCAGAAGATTTCCACTTTCCTCAGAGGGCATAGGGAACGGTTTCCTAATGATTACCAGTGGTGGTTACAGTTGAACGCGAAGTTGAAATACCTGGGACATACCTAGGTAGTCCTTATCGCCTTGAACACCCAACAACCTCCTTGCCGCTAACAAACAAATTGAATGTTCGAGCAAATACTAGTATTCGTCATACCCATTCGGACACGAGATTCCCTCAAAGGGAGCATAGCGCACATTGCTTCCGTCTCTAATATCCGCAGTGTATATATACTATGAGAGCGACGAGTAGTCCACGTTCGAGTAGTATTGCCATCGCCGGACCTAGGTATGATAATGAGAAACTCACATCTTTCATCTGTTGAGTAACGTAGTAACCGAACGCCTAGGTGATTAACTATATGCTCGCAGTCCGGATTAATAATATTCCAACGGCAAGGAGCGTTGAGAATGGATCTCCTCACCTTCAGAGCCCTTCTGCTCCTAACACAATGACACCACACAGGAATCCACCACATTCAGCACGAGATTGCAACAACAACTACAACAACACGATTGAGTTTTCAAATTGAAGAGGCGCGTGGAGAAATTTTCATCCAATGCAAAGGCACGCAATCAAGAATTTGCTGGCGTTTTTTTCTCATCCGACAAATGGGGATAGGAACTTGAATACCTACAACTTTCTTAGCTCACGTAACAATGGGGTAAATTTTTATACGGGCGGGAATCACAGCATAGCCATTCCGAGCTAATATCCTCTACAGGCCGGTTGAAAAGCCAGAAGGGCCAGAGCGGTTCAGCGTCGATGCTGGGGATGCCATGGGTTCAAAAGATACTCATATCACCGATGACAGCCATCTGCAATTCCGCTCATCCATTGGCTGAAGGTGGATCTTCGCCTACCAGTCGTTTCACCGCGTAACAATCGGGGAAGCTTTATCATACTTGAAAATGGAGTTTGTAATTGAGGGGAACCATATGGCAGAATAGCAGGCCGAAACGACCCCTCCAACCTCACTACACATTAACCCACCGTCGTGAATGAAAAGAGAATATGCCTCCCTCCGGCCAATGGATATCGCATGTTTCATTTATGAAGATCACCAATCCACTGTTTAACCACTACAAACACCGTGGATCAGGCAATCGCGATAATTTGCACCGACTGTAGCCTCCTCAATGCATCTCTCAGCACGGAATGAAGGTTTCCGTATGAAAATGCGGTTCTTCTACACAGTTCTGAACGCTTCTAACATATATATGCTTTTACAGCACCCAAATTTCACATTAAACTTCGCGCAAAGCTTGGAATGGTGCAACGAAATTGCATCCACGATAACTTTGATGAGTCAACCATGGAAGCAACCGCAATCTCGGCCTCGCCATTGGCTGATCAAGCGCCTGTCAGGTAATCCCGTGACCCAACCGCCGTCGGCTTGAATTGCTGTATAGAGTCTGTGCAGCTGCTGGGTCGGACGAGAGGCAACGCTGAATCCGACGGCAGCGACGAGCCCAACGAATCATGGATTTTGCCGCGGTGTTTGCCTCTTCCCCTTCCTCAAAATGTCTCATATTTTGCGCCAAAATTTTCCACTTTGGTTTTCTCGTTTGTTTCTCTGCTTTTCCTCTCCAGGTTTCAGTTCACCCCTCTCAGCCTTCAATCAAACCCACCACATCCCCACATCGGCCTTCTAATAGAGCCTTGTGCTCAACATATATGCGTCTGGCCTGGTTTAAACTGCATGACGGACCCTAGGCACGCGGTTGGCGTTGAGCCACCCGCTCGGGATGCGGATTGCGCCACCTCGCGCTCATCCTCACAGATCTCCCAGAACGCGAAACTGGCAACTGATAAAGAGCAACGGATGACGCTTCTACAGGGCCTCAAGCTCTACCCGAAAGCAGCTGCATGGAGTGTGCTTATCTCAACTTGCATTGTTATGGAAGGCTATGATGTTTGTTTGGTAAACAACTTCTACGCGTTCCCCCAGTGGAATCAGAAATATGGTGTCCAGTTGGAAAACGGCAACTATCAGGTCCCTGCTACGGTATGTATTAAAATTCGTTTGCTTTGTTATATTTTTCCGTTGTGCATGATTTCCGGGATTAGTTAAACAGTCAATTATTTTCTTCCCCTCTAGTGGCAAGCAGCCCTTAGTAATGGTGCAGTCGTTGGCGAAATCATCGGTCTATTTATCAACGGCTGGGCCTCCGAACGTTTTGGATATCGATACACGATTGTAACTTGCCTACTTTTCCTTGCCGGGTTTATTACGATATTCTTCACTGCAGCTCGTGTGGAGGCTCTGTTAGTAGGTGAGATCCTGTGCGGTATCCCGTGGGGCGTTTTCCAGACCTTATGCGTCAGTTACGCTACCGAAGTCTGTCCTGTTGCCCTACGGAGCTATCTTACGACCTATGTCAATTTCTGCTGGGGTCTTGGCCAACTCCTTGGAATTGGAGTACTCCAGGCCATGCTAAGTCGACCTGATGAATGGTCGTACCGAATACCGTACGCATTGCAATGGATTTGGCCTGTCCCTCTTGCCCTCGTGATTTTAATGGCGCCAGAATCCCCGTGGTGGCTAGTGAGAAAAGGCAAGACGGAGGAAGCGAAACGCGCCCTCCTTCGTCTGACGAGTTTGAATCGAGAGACTGGCTTTGACGCGGACGAGACGATTGCCATGATTGTCCATACCACAGCGTTAGAACAGAAAATTACCAGTGGTGCCAGCTATCTTGACTGTTTCAAGGGAGTCGACTTGCGCCGGACGGAAATTGTTTGTATGATTTGGGCCATCCAGAATCTTAGTGGCAACTCGTTTTCCAACTACTCGACATACTTCCTCGAACAGGCTGGTGTGTCGACCACTCACGCATATACCTTCGCCATGGGACAATATGGAATTAACATGGTAGGCGTTTTGGGTGCGTGGTTTCTCATGTCACGCGGCATCGGCCGAAGGACCCTTTACATGCTCGGCCTGAGTGGTCTCTGCATTATTCTCTTCATAATGGGTTTCCTTGGTTTCGTCCCTGAGGGCAACCGCGACCAAAGCTCACTTGCCACCGGGTCTATGATGCTCATTTGGGCCCTGATCTACCAAGTCTCCGTCGGCACGGTCTGCTACTCTCTGGTGAGCGAGCTCTCGAGCCGGCGTCTACAAATCAAGACCGTCGTATTGGGAAGGATTTTTTACAATATAGCGGCTATCATCTGTAACGTGTTGACCCCATACATGTTGAACCCTAGCGCGTGGAATTGGGGTAACTTTGCGGGTTTTTTCTGGGGTGGTTCGTGCTTTTGTTGCATCGTTTACACCTATTTCCGTGTTCCTGAACCGCGCGGTCGGTCCTTTGCGGAATTGGATATCCTCTTCGAGCGTGGCGTTAGTGCAAGGAATTTCTCTGAAACTGTGGTAGATGTCTTTGGAGAGAAGGAACAAACTGAAGTTCTCAATGACTCTAGGAAAGGCCCAGTGGCACATTTTATTGAGCCACGAGACGAGAAGCGGACGCTGTTCTGATCAAGCAAGATACTCTCATGTGGTGTATATATAGGAAGTACTGAGAGGATTAAATTGAATTTTCTATTGTCCTTGTTTTGCTCTTAATATATAATATTCGTCTCTTGCACTCTACGTCGCTATATTTGCCTCATTCACGCTCTTAGTATAGTTACATATATCATTAAGTTTTATTAGAATATTTTACCAACCTTTTTTTTAATTTTGGTTTTTATATTTTATTTTTACTTTTCTTGTCTTCAGAGGGTTTGAAATAGATACATGAGGATAATGCATAATAATAATAAACACTTGGTGTTCATTTAACCTATTTGCAAAATGGTTACCCAATAACAGCGAAAGAAAATCACCCGAGAACGGTAGAAAGTTTCGCTCATATCCCCTTGGAAGGACTCAAAAAGAGTCAAGCCGAATCATATCAGATGGTGCAACCTCCATCCATTCATGACAAGCATAGTCAAGTGTGTCATCATTGATAAATTTTTAGTCAGAATCCAGCCACAGAAATAGTACTCCGTACCCTAATATAGATTCAAAAATATGGAAGATAGAAGATGGGCGAGCTACCCTTTACAATCAATGAAGCATGAGCCGTGGGCGACGTAAATAGCCGACAATATAATAGAGATACATGATAATAGATATGGCTTCCCACAGTCGATGTGAACTGGCTGCTACTAGGCGTGATATTGTCACCGTCAGTCCCACATCCAACCGTTTTGAGATGCGAAAATATTTTTCACATTGTCTCCTCATCCTCCTCCCCTACGAGCTGCGCAATCAACTATATAAGGCATGCCTGACGGCCAACCATCCCATAGACCCTCATAATAAGGGACGGGTCTCCTTTAGCCCCTTCCTCCTGACAACATGCAAACAAATACATGGCGAAGCGACTCGGACCCTCTACGGGGAGAATGAATTCGTACTCCAGAACCTACCACGCGATACAGAATGGCTCGATGAAATCGGGGCCAGTAACATCTCCATTCTGAAGCGCGTTTAGTTTTGTGTCAATGCGGGCCCAGTAATCATGACCGAGTTTGGCGGATTTGTGGTGGATGGCGAGGAACAGCGCTTGCGCGCTCTTCTGCATCGGTTATCGAGGGATGTGAGGGCGCTGAGGTACCTTCGGGTTCACTGGACAGGGACGGGTGAGAAGGATTATGAGTGCTATGAATGTAATGAGGATGGCTATGGGATGCAACCCAGATGGGGCTGGGGCGATAAGAGGCGGTTCATGCTGGAATTAGGGAGGATTTGGGGGTTGAGGGAACTTGTGCTTGATGGCACATTTGAGATCAGCTGGATGGGATATTTGAGGAAGCAAATGGGGCATGAAGTGAAGGTACGAACGGCAGGTTGGTGATGGCAGTGATTGAGTGATTAGGCGTTTTTTTACGGAGCATAATATCTTAGAGAAAAATCAGGGCGAGACGATCGATGTGCTACGCCCTTTGATTGCCGGATATGTGGTGGCCCTCACCGGCTTGGGTTTTGGGTCAAGTGAAATGAGGGATTGCGGGTTATCAAAGCGTTATCCAACACAATCTGGCCCAAGATATCAGCCTGGAAAAGCTAGGTGAAGGGAAATAAAATGAGAAGGAATATTCATTCCTCATCTTGTTATATCTATGCATCCCGTCCCAGCACTTGGCGTTAGTTTCCTCGAAATCAGATGCGAAATATAAGACACATCTGTTGGCAAAATAGGGGAGATAAAGACGAGGCCTTTGGAAAGTATTTTGAGACGTTCTCTCGTTTGAGAAATTTTGTCACCAAGTACTGCATCCAATGTTTGCAGTACTGAAAAAAGAATCAATTTTCCTTATCCCAATAGGGTAGGGTCTGATTGTGGAATGAAGCCAAAATAACTATCGCTGTCGAAATATGATTGTCTCTGAACTTGAGATTTCAGCAGAAGCAAGAATCATATGAAATACACCTTGTCAACGATATTACCGAGAAGGTTGTGCCCAAATCTCCACAGTTTCATGCCATGAGTGCAAGGAGAGGATTATAATCAACGCTTTTCTATGGGCTCGTGAAGCGGAAACTTCAGGTTTCGTTCCTGAAGACTTCACGTCTCGATCATGATCCGCAGTCAAAAAAATGCCTTGAAGAGATCGCGGTGGTTGCCTGGCCCTATCCCCATGAGTCGGCAACAGTCTGACAATATGGGGCGGTTCCTCAGCAAACAAGAAGCTTGCGCGAAACCGATCCTAAGCTCGTATTTTCGTGTCCAGGTAGTGGGAAACGCCCAAAGGTTGGGATTGGGGATCCCGTTGAAATATTGCCAGGAGAAGATTTGCATCCCTTGGACTTTTCAGGTCTACGATGCGGGATCTGGAAGGACGAAGACACGCTTGACAGTGCCAACAGATTCATGATCACATCACCCATCAACAATTCCCCTTTCCCTTCTCTTCCCACCCCTCTGTTTGTTGTGTGAAGTTTTGGCTGGGAATTGAGATATCGGTGAAATGGGGATTAATTGCGCCGAATCTATTTGGCTTTTGTCATATTTCCCGTCCTTCAATACGATGAAGATCCCTTTGCTTGGTGGAACACATTTCTCATCGGAACTGGCGCAATGTTTGTCCTCGATCCGGTGTTCGGCGAATTTGACAGCAGGGAAACCGAACACCCCCTTTTGCTGGACGACCCCGGATTCTGGAATTTTATGCGAAGAGTAAAATGAGTTCCTGCGTCGGAATACGAAGACAGCTACCAATAACGGTTGGCTATGATGCCAGTCGCCAGAATCGTGCAAGTAAAAGCGAATCAAGCTCTTTCTGGTGGTGGAGCGGGTGGAGGCTGAAATCCAGCATCCCTGAAGCCTGGTCCTGCTTTCCATTGGAATATTTTTGGTCTCGTTTCAAATACCGTGCTTGGGGAAATTCTTGTGACTTTACGTGGAGGCTCGAGTGACCGTGAGAAAGCTGCGGAGACGGATCATTCAGCACCTCTAGCTTCAGTGCTAGATTTGCGAGGGAGAAATTAGTCAATTTGACACGGCCATGATTTCTCGCAACGTCTCGCCCTCTCCAGGCTGAGGGAGCACTTCTGTCGGTTTGCCGTTTTCCCAGCCATTGCGACGGCGTTTGCGCCAATTCGTAACTCGATGTGATCAATGTATCATGGCATCCACTGGCATCCACTGGCATCCACTCTGGGTCTCCGCTGTTTTCACCATCCGAGGAAGGGAACAAACGAATGCAGATCACATACGAGCATTTGGCATATTTCCTGTGATTCCCGGAGAGGCGCAGTTATCGTTCACGATTTGGAAGTCGGAAGATAGAGATAAGAATTTCCGAAGGATTCGATTGAATCCATCCAAAAAAACATATAAGAAGGTGATGCAGCATTGTAAGGGGAGCATCCGCATGCGATGACCATCCACCCACAATCCTTTATCCATTGCTTTTGCTTTCAGTCACTCATTCAGTATCTACCGAATACTTCTTTCATTTTTTTCCCAGGTGGGTTTACTTTGTTCGAGATTCGCCTACCAGGATATTGTAACTAACCATTCTCTAGCCATTTATCCCCTGGGATAACCTATTACGCAACGTTGAAACATATATCACAATGCCTTCTGCAATGAAACTGGCGCTCGCCGGAGCCGCTGCACTCTTTTCTGCCCTTCATGTCAATGCTGCTGCTTGGGAAGCCCGCCATGGCCTGACCAGAGATCAATTCCAAAAGACCTATGATGTACTTGAGGCCAAGGATTACAGCCTCGTTGATGTCAGTGGGTACACCGAAAACAACAGCCCCCGCTTTGCTGGCATTTTCATAAAGCACGACAACAAGCCAGATGTCGTCGCCAGGGGCGAAGTTGACGCCAAATCTTATCCCGCTCTGTTCTTCCGGCTCCGTGCTGAAGGTTATCGACCAAAGGTCGTTGATGGATATACTGTCAACGGCAACGCTAGATTTACCACTATCTGGGACAAGTCGTCCAAAACCCCCTGGGAGGAGAGAACCGGCATGTCTGCTGATGGATTCCAAAGAGTTTTCGACCATCTTGTTAAGAAGGAAGGATATCGCCTGACCTATGTCAGCGGCTACGCTGAAGGGAAAGAGGCCCGCTATGCTGCGATCTGGGAAAAGTCGAACAAGAAGACCGAGTGGGTTGCTCGTTTTGGCCTCACAAGCAAGAGATATCAGGAGGAATTCGACAAGAACTTGAAGCACGGCCTCAGACCAGTCCATGTCAACGGGTACTCTGTTGATGGCAAGACTTATTTCGCTGCCATCTGGGAGAAGTCCAACTCTGTTTTTGAAGCCAGACATGGCTTGACCGCCCAGAGATACCAAGAGACTTTTGATGCTTTGGTCAAGAAGGGCTACGTCCTTTCTGTTGTTAGCGGTTATGAAGATGGAGGCTGCGTCAGATATGCTGCTATCTGGAACAAGGAATAGATCAGACGTGCTATCAAGAGTGAAGCCTGCCCAACCTGAGTTTCTAGCTAAATTAAGGACGGGGAGAACTGTTTCCAGAGCCCGAAGGCATCGTTTTCCAATCAGAACTGGTTTTTATAGACTCGAGTGCACTCTTAATCTTTATTTACCAAAACGTTATTTATTATAATGAATATGCTTCATGCTCACATGAATTTCGACCTGCAAAATTGCATTCATTGCGTGCTTCACAAATACTTTGCATTTTAAATTTTTGTGGAGGTGATGCCCCGAGACTTAGTTATCCTAGGCGTTTTAATTGTTGATAGTAACTACTAGTAGCAACGATCTATTAACATTCCGTCTGACTGAGAATATCTCAATGGCTCACCCCACCAAAATCTTCGGGGCGTCTAACTCTGGGATAATGGCCGGAATTATTGGAGCTCCAGCACTCCGTATTGAGATTTACAAGATGAGAGTTGAAGTGGCCCAAATTTTTGCGGAATTCAACCGTGTCGCCCACCCCAGTCACCACTGCCATACATGCTCAAATGTTCCCAATCAGAATCCAAAAAGGTTTACATCCTCTTTATAACCCCATTCTTTCAGATTTGGCAGCGCCGCCATTTTAATCAACCCAGGCGGCCCGCAGAGGAGAGCTACGTTCTCTTCCGCTGGCTCAAACCCGTACTTCCGGATGATATCTTTATTCACCAACCCGCTAATTCTCCCCTCTGGCAACTCCTTGTATGGATGTCCAAGAACATGCACAATCTGAAACTGCTCCGGGTGCTGCTTCGCAAATTCCTCAAGCTCGTCTGCTAACAGTATGTCATCCCCCGTTTTGTTGGCATCTATTACTCTAATGCGGGTTGGGTCCTTTGAACCGCCAGGCACCTTATCCGAGCGGAGAATGCGCGCTATGAGCTGGTATCCAGGTGTAATTCCAGACCCGCCAAGGATTAGCGTGACGTTTTTGAATGTGCGCTTCTTGCCGTCAATCACGAATTGGCCATGGCCTTTATATTCAATCAAACCTGCGGGGCCTTTGACTTCGACCTCTTCATTTTCACGCAGGCAGTCTAGTATGTTGCTGATCGTGCCGCCAGGCTGTGTAGAGTTTGGGAAATATGTTTTTACGACGAGGCTAAAGGTACCGTCTGCCTCGCTTTCGAAAACTGGCCGCACAGGTGTGTAGGCTCGCATTACAAGCTTGTCAACGAAATGGAATCCCAGAAGGATGTGTTGGCAAGTGCCCAGACCGAGACTTTTTACGCCCGGAGGGAGAGCAAAGGTATATAATTGGGTGTCTGCGGAAAGTCGTTTTTTCTCGCGAAGGCGGACCTGGGTCCATCTAATTATTGTGAGTGAGTTTGTTAGTGTCATAAATATCACAGGATACAGGTCCGGTGAAGGTTTATTACTTTTGGCGCTGGATCCCCCGTCCAGAGCTGGCCGAGTCGGCTTTCGCCTTTGCTTTCGCACTCTCTTCAGCTTGTTTCTTTATGTATCTTTTCGTCTTATCGGTTACAACGCCGAGGACGCATTCTGTTTGTTGCGTTAGCCGATGCACAATACATGAGTAGAGTGGCCTATGGACTATTATCTTCTACAAACATCAGGTTTGTTCTGGATATGCATACCACTCAATTTCTTCTGGGCATAGTCATCGTGGACACTTTCAAACTCCTCTGTGGTCTCGGCATGAACCTTCCCCGCATGCGCCATAATGGCAGCCGCTCCTCCAGGGTGCCAGTCAAGCACGCTCGTCGCATCATAAACTTTGTTATTGATGACGATCCAGCAGTCTGATTTCGAATCGTGTTTTTCAATCTCTTCACGGGTGAACTGCTTCTGTGGAGCTGGCACTTCATGTCGGATCTCATCGAGTTGGTCCTCTGTTGACGGCTTCATCCAGCCTCCCTGACCCGATCCTGGTTCAGTAGGATGTTGGAAGGCGATCGACAGGTCGCCAGATTTCGGGTCTTGAGTAATATTACTGCGGACGGTGTACCAGCAGTTGTTCATCATACTAATTTCATATAGCATCTGGATTAGTACGAATCATGCACGATCCTAAAAAAGGTATACCAACCCCAGTAAATTCCAGTTCAGCCCTTCCGACTGACAATTTTTGAACACATCGAAGCATCGGACTGTGATTCCGCTTGCTTGGGCTAAGTGAGAAATGTCGACATCAACAGACCAGTGAACCCAAGTCCAAAACTTTTTGCCATGGCGAATGGGTGCCTCGGGAAACTGAGCCGCGATAATGATTTTAATTAGCACCTTTTCGGTGACGATGGTTTCCCGCAGCAGACCTGTAGAGTTAGAATGGCGGAAAGGATCGATGTGCTTACCCTGCGGATACAATACAGCCAGCTTTTACCGCCGTCCAAGCTGACTTCAACCCTCTGGACCTCATGGCCCCCTCCTGCATATGCCAAACCTTCAACTCTATATTCCCGCCTCTTTTTTTGATCCTCTGACACCAGATTTAGCTTCTCTCCGTGGGCGGGCTTAACAATCACGGAATTCAAGCTCTGCTCATTACACGCAGTGCTGGGGTTAGAAAACATCGCCTTCGCAAATTCCGAATCCATTTCGGTGATAAATCCAGGCACCACTCGATTGTCGAACACATGATAATAGCTATTATTTGGTTTATCAGAAATCCAGATACGTGAAAGCCATTTCACGCATCGTCCACCGACGTAACCGGGAATAATGATGCGCACTGGATACCCATGGTCTGGCGGCAGCGCTTTGTCATTCATCTCATACGCAAGAATAACGTCGTTATTCGGATCCATGGCATACTCCAAGGGAATGCATGTTTCATACTTGCCCTCGTTCGGATGATCTGCGCCCTGGAAGTTGACCCAGGACCGCCCGTGTGCCCCATCCTGCCGAACGCCCGCCGCAAGGAGGACATCCCGAAGCAACGGCCCTTTCCAATACGCACACCCACAAGCTCCAGGTCCCCAGTTGAACCCCTTCGACCTTTTGGTCATGTTAACTTCCTTCCGTCTATTGCCGTCACACGCCATGAGGACAGGGATATTAATGGGCTCAAAGTCGTCCTTTAGCTGTTGCATGGACAGCACCAATTTTCCGTTTTCGACGTCAAGCTGATGGGTTTGCCAGCGCAGATGAGGAACGGGGCCGTGGTTTCGTACGTAATGTATTTTATTCGGGGTAATTAGACCAGCATTGTAAAGCGTGCTCAGGGGAGGTTCAGCGTTGAATGGGTGCTTGCCTGTAAGGCGAATGAGAGTGTCGGTTCGCGGGACCCAGTTATCAGGAGTAAACTGATCAGCCTCATCTATGAAAAATCGCCTCTGCTCTTCCTCATGGGCTAACGGAGACTGTCTCTTGCCATCGTTAATTCGGAGAGAGTGCATATATACGTTCTCGTGCTGTAGGGCCCGTAAAAGTGCAATCTCTTGGGCGGAATATTTTTGCTTCAGATCATCACCCTTGCCAGCTGTGAGCTTCTTCTCGGCCTCACTTTGGCCAGCGTCGTCATCTGGTTCCCTGGGAGCATATGCGTTTTGCTGAGTGGCTTTCTCTCCACGTTCTCGTCGCCATTCATGCTCCTTCTTCACCTCCTCCTCCTCCTTCTTTTCCTTCTCTTCCTTTTCCTTCTGTCTTTTCTGGATATTTGCAGGCCAGTCTTGCTGATTCTTGATAAAGTCTTCCGTGGTATGTAGCACATACCGCCAGCCCTCTGAAAAAACTTCGGGTCTCCGCAGATGGAAATCCTATTGTCGCCGTTTGATTCAAGAATATTGTATTAGCGGAATCTAGAACCAAGGAAGTGGACCTAACAAACGCAAGCCAACCCAATGACCCTCAATTTGAGGTGAGAAAAAGAGGGGGAGTCTAATATACTTCCTGGTTCACCATAACATCCCGCACCGTAATCAGATCTCCACTCTCCAATCTCTTTTTGAATTCCGCCTCGGTCTTAACTGCTTGTTCTTCATATTCAAGCTCCTCCTTTAGCCATTCGTCACCCCGGTGAGTTAAACCAGGGACATTATTTTCCCCATTGCGGAGCCCGATACGGTGCAATCCAGCTGTTTGCCAATCCGGTTCCTCCTCGATTTCCACCTTAGTAGAGCCGGGGTGGTACCTTGGGCGGGTGTAATGGGCGTGCGGTGCCATTATCTCTCGGCAGAACGGTGAATTGATTTTATCTTACTCGTTTTCTTGATATGAAGGCTTCTTTCTTTGCGATTGATTTGGCCCGCAAGTGAAGGGAGAGGAGAAACAGAGCTAAAAGGCGGGGAGGGGGTGTTAGTTCATTCCGTAGGGTGGCGTGTTTCACGTCTGGGGGGATCAATTGTCGGTATATCGGGATACATTTGTTCGGGGATAGCATGGTTATCCCCTGCCTTGCTAGCCAACTAACCAGTGAAAATTGCTTTATTGTTAATTTGCTGGATACTGTGAACTCACATCGATGACATCATCGCCAATTGACCTTTGGGATCACTTTGCACCACTGCACTAATACAGTATGACAAACGAGACGAATATAATATGGTACAAGATGATCTAGAAAGTGATGAAAAATTGGGTTTATTTAAAATATGTTAAGTAACACAATTAAGGCGGCATCGTTATTGATGTCCCCTTCTTTATCCGCGATCTAGAAACTCCATGTGGGGGCCAGCGAAATCTAGTTAATTTATAATTCCCACGTCCTCCGTCGAGGGGAGGTTTTGGTTCACAGAATGACCTTATGCGTCGCTCCCTTTTCCAATTCATCACCGAAGATATTGATATCCCATCGAGGTGAGTCTGGAGGAGAAGTCAGTTAATTCAAAGCGCGATGACTACCGAAAGGTACGGCGATGCTCTCTACTCACAGTATGCGTAAGGCGTATTGTAACGCTTCGGCACCTTACCCAGGCCGTTGATGGTCGCAATGTCCTCAGGAGGCAGGTTGATCTCCTTGAAGTTCTCGACGATTCGAGCAGGTGTGACCGACTTTGGGATGACGCTGTGGCCACCAACTTGAGACCATGCAAGCCTAGAAAACAACGTATCAGAACCATACAAAACAGGACCGCCATCCTCAGGATCAACGAGTGAGGCATACAGAACTTGGGCGGGTGTGGCGGAGAGTCGGTCCGCGATCGCTTTAATCTCTGGGCGAGTAATAAGAAGTGGTTCTCCAATCATGTTATTTCCAAATGCCTGTTTCCGGAGGGTTAGATTACCCATGGAAGGTTAAGGATACCAAACTGACCGAGTATGCAGTGATGTGGATACCCTTCTCCTTGCAATATTTCACTAGGTCATTGCTCTGAAGGAGAGGGTGGCGTTCAACCTGGTTGACGGCAGGAACAACCCCGGTTGCTTTGATAAGGGCTTCGATCTAATTGGGATTTGTCAGGTCAGAACCAGTGATGCGAATACAACAAATGTAGTGGCCCCGGGTAAGATAGACAGCATACATGTTCAATTGTGTGGTTGGACACCCCTACACTTTTGACTTTGCTCTGGGGAAGGCTGATCATGGCTATTGAGGTATGTCAGCTAGAATGCTTGACTAGAATCCAGATTGTCATACTAACGACGAACCTCTCCAAGTATCAACGAGCGACACCGAATCAGCAATTTGAACGTCCTTCTTTGGGTTGGTGCTTGTCATATCAAGAGGGAAGAGCTCTGTGTCGGATCGATACTCGAATGCAACGGGCCAGTGGATGAGGAATAGCTGAGGATACAAAATTGTTAAGACCCTCGCTGCGAGTTGTGTGGCCAAGAATTGCGAGAACGTACGTCAAGATATTGAAGCCCAAGCTCCTTTAAGCAAATGTCAAGGGACATCGCAACGTGCTCCGGCTTGTGGTAGCTTTTAGGGACGAGGAACATATTAGCTAAAGTCAAATTTCACCGAACAATAATTTGGGTATATCGTACTTGTTCCACAGCTTAGAGGTCTGATTGAAAACAAAATAGGGGGATCCATCAGCATCTATCCTGGGACTCGGAAAGGGCGATTCCCAAAAGAAAAACATACGATAAAGATGTCTTCCCGTCTTAACCCTGGTATTTCCTTGAGGGCTTTCTTCAAGCCTTCACCCACCTCTCTTTGATTTCGATAGCTGGAGCGTGCATCAAATAAGCATTTTGGTTCGAAATTGCGTTCTCCCTAATCATGCAACCGAGAGCTTACATATGGGCAAGGTCCTATGAAAATTTCACCTTTTGTCAGTTCTTCTCTGCGACTTTCAATCTAGAGAGGGCAAACTTAAGATTCTTACAAGATGGCGATAGCCAGCTTTGAGCGCCTCGAAAACACCAGCGCCGACTTCACCGGGACCGGCCTGCCAGGTTCCATAGCCCAGCAGACTGCAATTTTGGAGAGAGGGCAAAGAACAACCCATTTAGTCTAAAATGCCCCCCATCCAGGTATTTTATCGAATACTCACGGAATCTGATAGCAGGTGTTAAGGGTCGCTTTCCTGCCTAGAGACATTGTGGCGAATTGGGACCAGGTCGATAGGGACTGAATGACAGAAAATCGATGACCGAAGGACGAAGAAGCGAAAATGAAACGTGAGGCGTGAGGCGTGAGACGTGTTATTGAAATCGAGTTTTAGCAAGGGAATCAGGCGTTAACCTTTAGATATATGAAAATTCTCTGCTGGTCCATCTCAAATTCCCCTCTTGCCGGTTGAACTCAACGTCTGTCATTACCATTCCCCACGCATCAGTGGAACGCCTCCTGAGATGATGTCATGGCTCCGCCGTCGGTTCCATTGATCTTTATTTATTTCCCCCCCTCTCTCGGATGAATGAATGTCTTACTGGCAAGAAGCATTGTAGGTTTGTATCTAGAAGCCATTGTCAGTAGTGCAGATGGCCTCAAAAGAACAGAAGTAGTAAACCCACTTACATTCGAATATGATATGATCGTCATCAAGTTGAGTAGTTATTCAACCTATCAATAACGAGAAAGAAAAGATGTCGGAATTCACCATTTTGCCTTTCCATTTTTTCTTTCCCTCATGCATTCCGCCGGCCGTTGTCTTCGAGGTAACAATGTTGGAATGGATTATTTATGATATTATTGATCAAGGAATGGCACATCCCTGCCGGACCCTGGGCCCCCTGGAGCCTCCACAGATTCCCACCGCATCTTATCGAAATCCAGATATTTAACCATAGCTTTGTGTTTTAGGTTCAGGGTATTCATCCGGGGCGCAGAGGGATATTCAAACGCGCGCCACGCAACAAAGCTGTGCTGCGTGGCTTGTATTCAAAAAGAAAAGGTCGGGGCGATGTTCATTGTTATGGGACGAGCATTCATACGTAGTAGTCTTGCTCACATCCATTATAGGTTGCTGTGCAATGCAGGATTGATGGCTTCTTGACGTATGCACAGTATTACCAATGACGTCCGTCGTTGATTGAGCTGCAGCTGAGAAGCTTGACGCCAGGGCAGGGTAGACTAACTAACTAACTCCATTGCACGCATACCCCCGTCGATTTACTAGTCAATTCTTCCAACGTCAGTACGGAAAATAGGAGCTAGTAAGTCGTAGAAGATAACTAGCCTTATTTTGGACATCAGCAGCTTCGAGTTTATCCTGGCGAATTCCCCAGGCTTTTTATCTCCTTTGGAAGTATGAACACTACCAGTACCTGGAGAGCATAGTACTGGACAAAAATAGCATCGAGTAAAAAATATAGACATCGGATGATGTTACAGGTGGCATTTCCAGAGACATCTATCTGTCTAATAAATTAATCCAGTCCAAGGCAAAAATACTTAAAAAAAAAAGTGTCCAACGGAGAATACACATTACATAGTTTTATATGTACGAGACATTCATTACAACCACCACCACCACGATGAAGTGGTCTATAACCATCTCCAAAGAAAATGAACAACCCACTCAACTCATTTTTTCCCCCAGATCTCAAACCAACTACACCTTCACCCCCCATTCCCATCGACAACACACTCCTCCTCCTCTTCTTCTTCTTCTTCGGACTCCGTAAACTGAATCCTCTTCCCATACAGCAACGGCGTTCGCCCAGCCATATATCCCAGAGCATACCCAATATATGCCCCCGTAACAATGGTGATGGGGTACGTCTGCCATGGCCGGTCCCTACATTCACAAGCACAAGAAACAAGGAAGATACATTAGCCCATTAGCCCAAAAAGCGCCTAAATGAAGAGGAAAAAAAAAAAAAAAAAAAAAAGCCCTCCTCCGCACACCAAGTCAGATGGGAGGTCATGCTGTTGTAAACCAAAAACACAACATGAAGGAGCATTGAGGGGGGTGGGGGCCGCGTTTCCCTACCAATCCAACGGAATAGGCACCGCCCCGAACCACGCGCCTAATCCCACGCCGACAGTAGCACCCCACACGGCATCGATGGCGCGGGATATCCCCCATATCTCCCGCCAGACAGCGCCGTCGGTGCCGTGGACGTATATCAGGCTCGTGCCAGCGAGGATAGACATGTGCGCGGCGCAAAGGGTGGTGGCGGGGAGGTCGGTTGTGAAGGGGGCGCCGAAGAGGATGAGGCAGATTGCGAAGAGCGGGGTGCCGAGGATGAGCGGGAGGGTTACAGAGAGCAGCGCTGGCTGTGTGGGCTGTTAGCAATGTGTAATGTGTTGGCTATTGGTCTGTTTCCCTGGAACGAGACCACGACAGTTGTCATTGTAACATAGGGCGCACAGATAGATAGATTTATATGAATAATATGAAGCTTGAAAGGCCAGCCAGGGCAGGACAGGGCAGCGAAACAACATGCGGAAATTAAGGACGGGCACACATACAATGACCTTCGCACCCCCAATTCTCTTCCTCGCACCAATCTTCCCGCTGACACCAGGAGCAGCACTACCGCCGCCGCCGCCGCCGCCGCCGCCGCTCCTCCCCTTCCCCAGCCCGCTATCACCACTGCCGCCACCAGTAGTGGCAGGCAAGCAAACAATCACATAGACCCCCTGCATCAGCGCCAATGGCGCCAGGGAGCCCAGGAGGGCTGATACGGGGTCATCGACGAGTGCACGGAAGCGCAGCGCGAATAAGGAGAGGAGGAGTAGCGGATGAATGTGCGCGTATGTCTGCGCGAGGGGGGACGATAAGATGGATGTTGGCGGGTGTGGTTGGGGTTGTGAGGAGGGGACTGGTGAATGCTGTGATGGCGGTGCCGGAGCGGGTTTCGGGGACGAGGTTGGCTGGACCATTTTTTTGATGGGTAGCCTACGCAGGTAGGTCTGTTCGGCGCCGTTGGGGATGGACGGTGGCTGATGATTTTTTGGCGCCGGTAGCGACGCGTTTTTCCCTCTCGCTTTATTGATTCATGGGAGGCATTTTGAAGTGTGTGCGGGCGGAGGTAGTGGGTTGGGTACATGTAACTTATGCGGATGTGTGTTGGTTTGCGAAGCAGAAATGATTTTTGGAGCTTGCATGATGATGTAATTTACGCGATTGGTTACTAACTGTATTGAGAATACAAGAATGCAGGTGGTAAACTACTTGAGTTCAACGGAAACGGAAATATACATATATCGGCATCAGTTATACTATACAGATTATGGTTAATCGGTAGCCTCACAAGAGATATTTCTCTATCTACAAAACCAGGCTGAAAGATAACTTGGTTATTCAAAAGCTCATTGATTGTCTCACCTGGCAAAACACCCAAGAAAATAATAACCTTGTCAGGTCCTCAGATTCTGTAGGAAATATATTCGTGTAGAGGTCAAAGCCGTATGAATATAGTGAGACAAAAGCCAATGGAAGGTAAGAAAGGCGCAGAACACTTCGCTGCCTGAGAAATGGCGAAGAGAGAGAGGGGGGAGATAAAAAAAATCCATAATGTGCAGAATACAACAAAGGAAAATAAAATTAACAAATATAGATAAAACAGAGAACTCAACAGAAAAAGTAACCGAAGGCAGGCATCTAAGGACTTCGTCCCTAGCGCCTATAGGAAAAACTTGAACAGGATTTCATCGTGTGCCAATCCGAAAAAGTCGTCAGGTATGTAAAACAGAAAGAATAGAGATAGAGAAGATATACATATGTGCAATACGAATCAATAGAGGGACCGGTCATGCCACCCAGTTCCTCTCCCACCTACAAATGTGTGCGCTATTGTAGAAAGGGGTATGGAGGTGCAAAAGTTTATTGAGAAAAAGTGACGAAATCGAGACGCTTGGACGCTGAATACGAAAAAGTAATGAATAAAAAAAAGCGTGATGCGGAAAGGTACATAAAGCATGCTCGGTATGGAGGCCACTTGAGAAAAAACGGGTATTTTTGTACGGGTACTTATGTTAATCATATCATCCCCGCAATATAATTTCTGTCCGTTGTCCCCATGTTCGCGCGCCGGTAGGCATCTTCTCTCCTCCTATGGGACGCTTCCATGAATTCATCGTCACTCTCCGTCTCAGAACGCTCGGTATTATTAACCCTTCTATCGCTACCCCAACGGGACGAAATTCTGTAGGAGGAATCTGAGTACGAAGGTGTCAGGAGGCTTGGTTGACCTGGGGGGGGCTGGCCGACCCGTAGTTGGGAAATGTCCCGCTGCAGTTGGAAGACTTGCTCCTCGAGAAGCTTGCGCGCGGTCTGCTCACGTCGAACAAGGGTTGTTAATGCGCTGTATTGCTCGACGGAGATTCCCTTGAAGTCGGAAACGAATGACGATGGGGTCTGGCATGAGACGTTGTTTCTAACGGTATATGGGCGCAATGTGGCGGTACTTTCGGGTCTGTCGGGGGTAGGTGAAGTACGAGGAGGGGTGATGCTCGGGCTCGATGGGAATGAGCTTACAAAGAGCGGCGGATGTGCATCTGTTACTGTGCGCTGTTGGCTGTGTGGAAAATTGCGTCCCATGCTCGTGTCAAAGGTTTTCTTGGCTGGGGAAACATCGTGACCCTGGAGCTTCGCGATAGCAAATTCAAGATCCATCAGCTTTACTTCCAACATGTTCACTCGTTGCGCAAGGCCGGTTTCAGAATTGTCATGCATCGTTCCCATCAGCGCGGTGAGGTTGAAGGGATCATCTAGCGACTGGTCAACTTCCGCATGCTCTGTGGCTTCTAAAACACTGGCAATTGTGCTTTGGGTTTCAGGTCGGGCGGATATCGAAGGGCTCGTCTCCACCTTGAGGAAGCTTTCCCTCCAGAACTTGATCTCATCACTACGCCGCCGCCATTGTATTGGAGACATACGATGTGCTCTTGCCGTGTCCCGCAATTCAGACGCGCTGCGCGACCGTCTTTTTTGTTGTCTGGATGTCTTTTGGTCGAAAATTTTCGGCTCTTTTATACGTCGTGTTGGTGAATGGATGCTGTTCGGTCTCGAATTCTGCCGGGCAATTTGACTAGCGAGCTCGCGGGCTTCGTGAGTTGATAAAACGATACTTGGCAACGTTGCTCGTCGTCGTGGCTGTCGGTAGAAGTCGAATCTTGGCGACCTACTGCCAGATCGCTGATGATGCTGGGATTCCCTCGAGTTCCTCAAGGAACTCCGCGTAGGGGTATGAGCTAGTGAGCTAGGATGGGTTGGCAATGACGGCGCCCTGTTCGATCGCGACCGCAAAGATCCAGACGCCGGTTTAGCTGGATGCTCTGTTGTCCGTAGGGTAGGCGTCCACTGATTGAGTGCTTCTCTTCTGAAAGATTCCGGGTCACTTCGCCTCTTTCGACCGAATATCTTGCGCATGACCGACCTCAGAGTGCTCCCTCTTCGTCTTCGCATGATGGAATCCTTCGTCAGAGTGGAGGAGATTGAGTCCTGGGGACCATGAGATGCTGCGCCATTTAATGGGGTGATGCGGGTGGCACAAGGAGAATCGTTCAGGCCGGGGGTAGAAGTCGTCGACGGATTCGCGGAGAAGACCGCAGATGGAGAGGCGGAAGCAGACTCCAAATTATGTGGAAAGGCATTGAGAGCCTCCTGACTACTCCTCCCAGCGAGGGGAATGGAGTGTGATATCTTGACATCGTCCGACTGGGTTTCGGCAGGTGGCAAACGTTTGCGAGTTCCATAATTTGGGAGCATTGGCTGAGACCCAGGAGACATGATGAGCAGGTCGCCAGCCAAGCTTGTCGAAGAGAAACTGGTGGGGTTAGTGGTCCGCGTTCTTCCCGCCTCTTTCTTGCTTTCTTTCTTACTTTTTTTTTGGAGGAATTCGTGGCTGAGCGAGGCCCCCTTTATCGATAGTCTCTCCGCCTTCAAGGGCTGTGGCTGGCGCTGTGCGTAGCCGTGGGTGTCTGGAACAAGGGGGCTACAGATCGACGGTGGGCTGCGATCCCATGATAACTGCGATAGACAAATAGCAGTTGGACAAAGGCCAGCCACCAGCGGGGTTGCATATATCGACTGATGAAATCAATGATCGGCCGATGGAAAAGCGAGAGGATCCGGCTATGAGCAGCCGGTGCAGTGCCGTTGGCCAATAAAAACCAGCCACAGAGAGGCTGAATGGAGGGAAATAAGAGAAAAGAGGGTGTGGTAAGTCGCTTTTTGGCACGAGCAGACGTTGGAGAATGAGGATAAAAAAAGAAAACTAAAAAGAACAAGAAAAAAAAAAAAGAAAGAAACAAGCTAGATAAGATAAAAGTAAGTAAGATAAAAATAAAAAGTAAAATATTTAGAGGGTGCGAAGGAGAATAATATCTCGAGTCGAAACCTTCCGGAAGTTCAGGGGGAAGAAGCTTCAACGACCACGTCAGTTGGGCGATGGAAGGGGACAACGCATGATTGTCAGAAATAAGACAGGGGGGAAGAAGGCATCGGAGCGACAGAAACCAAGCATACCGAATCAAGAGGATTGAAAGCACCAGGAGCTGCAACGCCGGCTGGGCCTGGCAGGGGAGTTAGAGCGTCTGGGCTGGAATGCCGGCTGCGAGGGAAGACGAATGAGAGCCAACCATCACGTTATTCAGGGCAGAGCCAAGAAGCCATCATGGACGTTCGTCGACCTCGAGAAGGGAGAGGAGAAACTCACGGACGAAAAGGAGAAGTCGAAGGAGAGAAGAAGAAGCAGTGAAAGAGAAGTGGAGAAGAAGAAGAAGAAGGAGAAGAGGAGGAGAAGGAGGAGAAGAAGGGAGAGCAACGCAGCCGGATTCCGCGGGGACTGTGGAGGGAGGCAGTGGCATTATATTATGGATGGATTTGGCGGCGGATGTTCAACGGCGGAGGCTTTAGCGCAGTTGGGGCACCAGCCCGGGGCCACGCCAACGCCTGTTCGGGCTAGTCAGGGCCGCGCTGGAGCCTCCCGCCCTGATCCAGTGATCCAACCCCAAAGTCGAGCGGGGACTGAGACTTGAGCAGGCTTGAGCAGAACTGAGCAGAACTGAGCAGAACTGAGCACAGCGAGCACGGTGAGCACGGTGAGCACTGGTAAGCAACCGGTGAGCGGTAGCCAACAGACCATCGAGCCCCGCCGAACCGCCAAGTCAACGGCATCATCATAGCACAAGTTCGGGACTTAGTCTGCGGCCATTCCGCGCTACTGGAACTTTCCTTTTCCTTTCCTTGCTTGTTGGTCGTGGATTCTCCAAATTTCCGATAACACTGAGCAAAAAGTCTCTTTATGCATGATCTTCGTCCTCCAGGAGCCGTGCCTCTGAAAGAAAGAAAGAATGAAAGAATGAATGAATAAATGAATGATGTGATGAAGAGGAACTAACGAGCTAATTCTCAGGGTGCATTGGGAATAATAGTTGATTGGTGCACACATTCCTTCCACTGGGAGCTTGCTGCCCTGAGCAATGCATCCATCTCATCATTGATATGCCGCTCTGCCTTTGCAGGTCTTGTCGTGGTGGAAAATCAAGAAATTCACCGCCGATCCTTGCTTGACGCTAGGCGTTTGTGAGACACATGGAATATATTAATAACCGCAATGGATGTTGCCCTCCACCTGCATATCTTGGGCTCAACACGACCTTTGACCGACCACACTACTATGGACTTCACCAGCTCCCGATTTCAGCTCATGCGATGCGAGGCACCAAATGTCTGACCCCTAATGGCAGATCCCCGGCCCAGTTTTTTTTTTCTCAAACCCCGTTTCGAGTTTCCCGCAAGCGGCATCCTGCGACTATCTGTCGATGCGGAGTTTGCCGTGTGGTTGCACCGCTTGCCAATGCAGGAGCCAAGGGCGGGTTTGGAGCTTGACTCTCTCTCTCTCTCGTAACTTACTCGGCAGTTCACGCGAATGCTGGATCCGTATCGCTAGATTTATCATCAGACGGGAATTAGAATACCACCCTGCTTAGTTGGAGAACCCCCGCGCGCGGCGCGCGACTTATGGGTTCCGTCGGTTTCGCAACATCAAAGAGAGAAAAATTAGCAATGCACCCCAAGTCCACCCGTGCAGGAATGCTTTCAATATTAAAAGACAAGGAAATTAAATCGTGCGGGCGCATAACTAACGTAGAAATTGATTATACATCAGCGAGCTCACGCATCATCATATTACCCACCCCCCCATCTTCTTCCAGTATCAAGAGTCTACCAATCAAGAAAAGCACAGAAGAAGCTACTTAAAGATTGCATATTCATTTCACAGGCCCTAGTAGTTTTCGTTTTATCCCCTTTTGGTTTTTGCTCCGTCAAATTTTTATGTTCCCGATAAATTGACGCTAGGGGAGAGATACAAAAATTTAAGGATCTTCTGGAAGCAGCAGCTATGAGAGTTAAGTGTCTATCTGCATGGTATCTTGAATCATACTGCACACCATACATAGTATACTCACCGCAAACCATTCCCGGCCATGTGGCGGCGTGCTAGCCAATTACACCCTCGTCCATCCTGGAACCTTTTCATCAAAGCGTCTTGGTTCCTCAGACTCCCAGCTCTGTATCATAGAGCTTTTGCTCTCGCTCTTTTTTTTTTTTTCTTTTTTTTTTCCCTAGAGGTTAAGCTTCTTATTTCTTGATACAATCCTTCCTCAGCGCTTCATCCAATCAAACATGCCGAATTGATTTTTCTTCCGAATTTCCATCACACCTTCGTAGGTTTCATTTTTTTTTCTCCTAACAACGGGAATCCCTGCGATGGAAGTGTTATCCGAGATTTGACGGTGTAAAGATGAGTGAGTGATGTTGGAAGCTCTTCTCAAAGCTGATGTCTTTCTGTTAAATCTGTTCTCTATTATTCTCTGATGAATTGTGAGGTGTCTTAAACTGCTAGGGGGCAGTCTGGTCCCTATCACAGGGGGTGGGCAAATGAACCTCGTTAAAATCCCAGAGATGAAGACATCTCTTTGATTCCCTTCAAAGGGTTGTAGCAGGAGCTTCATGAAACATGCAGCTGGGGGGGCGGGACGGAGCAAAAAGTGTGAAGGTCGTATTATTCAGTATGTTGCTGTTAAACAATATCATCGCAGATATCATCATCGATATACATCATCATTGATATATCATCGGTAGATATCATTCATTCAAGCAGGGCAGTAGATAGATGGGCAGGTAGGCAGATGGTGATGTTGATTCTCATAGAGATTGATTGGATATTGAGCAGGCAGGTTGGTTGGTAGGTCCCTAAGGGAGGGAGATATGTCGCTAGCTCGCCATTTCTATTCTATTAGCAATCCATCAGATATCACGCGGGGAGGCAGGTTGGCAGGTTAGCAGGGACTGAGAGAGAGACCACCCGAGGGGTCAGCCGACGTGTAATCTGCAGGTTAGCAGCAATCTAGCCAGGTAGGTAGGAAGATAATTCAGGGGTAAGAATAGGGGGGTATCTGGGTGTTTCAGCATTTGAATCAATCAGAATGTCCAGGAATCCCCTCGACACCAATAAGATCATTGAATTTCAACCCACATCCAATCATTTCAGCCACAAAATGAAGCAACTTCTCGCCCCTCCCCCTCCCCGGAGCTTCGTATGATACTTATAGACCTCGCTTCTCTCCGTCGAATAATAATTATAGAGTCTAGGTCTGTAAAGGAGTCGTGGGAGAGCCGCTCAAACCATGGCCGTTCCTCAGTCTTCACCGAGTCATGCGCATGTTATATTAAACGACACAACAAAGAGCAATTCGCACTATCGATACTACATTAGTTTATAGTATCCGAGCTATATCGGTGCGTCTTTAAGGGTTTCAATCATGTTCCCAACGGGGGAGGCATGTGATTGTGGCGCAGGGCCAGCCTTGTTTGATTTTCTATCATACATGCTAAAGTTTAATACACTCCCCCGCCATGAAGGAGCACCACTGCCGTACGTAGATCAAGGGGCTAAGGGCATAAAGGCAGCTCTCCTCCCAATTTTGCTTCTATTGCTCTATCTTCCCTTTTCTCCTCACAAAGGTCATCCCAGTTTCGCAAAAACTATCCGATTCCACACTTCCATCATGAGTACCCAGACAGTTCGAAGACTTGACCGCACAAGGATTTTCTATTTTGCGCTGGCGTAAATGGTCCGCCGCTAGGGTTTTGTTGTGCGTAGCTGCATGGCATGAAGAAATATAATATCCGTTTTCCAATTGAATCGTTTATCGGCCAATATGTACTCCGTACATCCCGTCAAAACCTAATTGAAGAACGTGACATGATAAATACTATTTTCTTGCATGTTCATACAAAGGGGGTAAGAACGCTGTAGACCTTATCATGTTCGACGTTGACAAGCTCTCAACCCTCAGGTTCTCCGACTAGGAAGAGATGATTGAGTAAGTTGGTGGTTGGCATTCGCCTTTGGGGGTTTTGCTGTAGCATCAACCAAAGAAATGATGCAAGGTGCTCTACATTCTCAGCACCGAAATCATGTGGGAGCCTGTCTGTCAGGTGTTTTGTAAAGTTCTCATGCACCTGATCGTTCTTACCAAGGAGCTGGCTAATATGGTAAGTGTGCTCTTCGTCAATCTGTTCTGCTGTGAGGCCAAAGGTTCCCAAGGGAAATAATGGCTCGTTTGTTGCTAATTCAAATACCTTCACAAAAATATTAGATGGGAGAACTGGGTTTGGGTGTAGGGGGAGCATACCAAGCAACCCAAGGCCCAGATATCGATCCTAGCATCCCAAGTACTTCGGTGGATTAGCTCAGGTGCACGCAAAGCTTTCGGCGTTACCGGCCACTGATCACATTGTTGACTCCATGCAGCTAGGTAATGATATGAGTTCTTGTACCAGGTTTGGCATAAACAAACGGTGCATCATACCTCCACCCAGATCACCAATCTTAACCAAGATCGTGGTGAAATCTGCATCGTCCAGTTCGCCCCGTCGTCTCTGTGTAGCCATCAAATATTTCGGCGCGCTATCATCTACCTTTGTTCCTTCTAGCCACCTAACAGGGCTGAACTCCGGGGGCTGCAAGAACGCCTCTACGTGCGCAGCCCCAACAATTGAAAACAGAACATTTGCAGGTTGTAGATCTGCATTAAGTCAGGATACTACCAACTTTCATGCCTCAGGCGCTGACCTACCACAGTGGGCGATGCCTAGCTTATGAAGAAAGTCAACACCCAACAAGATTTGTTTGGAAATAGCTCGCACGTAGGCTGCCTGGCGCGGCTTTCTGGTGACGCTTATTACTTCACCGTCGGATATCATTGCAGGGAGCACTAGACACAAGTGCGTCCCATTTGGGCCATCATGCTCGAAATAATCCAGCAGTTCGATAATATGCCCTTTGCCAGGATGATCTAGGCCCGGAGCAGATAATTTAAGAAGCATAGCAAGCTCTTTATTGTTTCTGGAAACATCCGCTTTCAGTATCTTCAACGCAACATGTCGCTGGAGCCTTAAATGGAGTGGTTAGTTGTCACTGGGGAAAAAAGGGTCTGCTGGGAGAGACTCACAATTGGTCATGTGTGAGCCATACTGTTGAGAATTGGCCAAACGCTAACTTTCCAATAACCTCGTACCTCTTATTGAATACATCGTGGAGGTGTACCGGATGATAGCCTCCCTGGCGATACTCTTCGACGGGCTCAACGATGTCGTGGATTCTCTCGAAACGCCGCATTTTGAATCACAGGTAACTGGTTTGGGCAAAGAACATATCCAGGACGGTTGGCTCAAGTCCATACTGCATTTCTAAGAGAGATGTGGAGGAGCCTGTCGAACTTTTCTGATGTCATGTGACGACACTTGAATAAGGTTGTACAGCAACCATTCCTGGCGCGCTTAGTCGCGACATTCTTCAAACAAGGCCTGGGTGAAAATAAGCCTAGGCCAACCAAAAGTTCCATTCTCTCCACGATGAGGGGCCACCATCAACTAACCTGTCTCTATATTTAGATTGCTATGGCAGTCATGCTCACATGGGACTGCGTCATTGCGCTGGGTCTCAAGATGATGAAGATGATCCCTCAGCCAGAGATTCGAGATATGCCCGCTGCGTCTAGAAAGAAGCGTTGAGAGAGTCTTTGGGTGGGAAGTTTTCATCTTGAAAGATACAGCCGACCAGCCTCCTTACTCATCCCGAATAAGGCCACCAATTGCTAGAAATTGACATCTATAAAGCTCCATCAAATTTTGACAAGTATGCTGCAGAGCTTACAGGTGGTATACATATCAAGAAGGGCACCCAACCGCTGATCACGGAGTACCACTTCAAATCAACAACTCATAAAGGACATTTCTCTCTCACTTCCGTGAGTTGGTGATGACTTTGCCGCCGGACGGCTTTATGGACGAGTCAATCATGCTCTCCAGATAACAACATTCAGGGGGTAACTCTCTAGGGACGACTTCTTATCAAGCTCGCGCGTGCGACAGATTATCCCAGCGTCTGTTCTGACGACTGTCTTGTACGTCACGTTATCACGAAGATGGCCTCCTGAAAACCATTTTGAGCCTTTTATTGCTTTCAGGGCATATAACAGATGCGTTTCTCAGATCTATGTCTGGCCTTTAGGATTGCATGTATTCGCCAGCGTCGGGGTATCGTAGATCCGCATTTTCCTCCAAGAAATCCATCCAACGTCGTAGGAATTGGTTGCCACTATTGATAAGAGGACCAGAAAATGAAAGGCCATGAGTTAAAACGATGTCCACATATGTTGCTAATAATACACTTGGTTCGATGTCTTGATGGGAGGAAAATCGAAACTTTCATAACGCTAGCTAGGGGAGATAGAGGAGGTCGAAATGGAAACAGTCGTTTTACTTACCCACGAATTGTTTCAGAATCCCCACATATGCACAAATGACGTTTGGGACGGGTCATTGCGACTGCGAATTTTGGCGTCAGCAAGGTTTTGAAAGATATTTATTAAACTCACGTAATTGTCTGCTGCATCTTTATGGCAGTTTGCTGAAATTACGATGGTTGCTATTGTTCACACAGAAAAAGCAACGTACCATTTAATCGCCTCTTCTCAGCAAGAAACCCAACTTCATGCTCTGGGTTGCTACGCACAAGACTCACGATGACAGCCTCCTTCTCCCGTCCTTGAAACCCATCCACGCTCCCTAGTTCGAGTCCAGGGTATTTGTCTTTCAACATGCTAGACAATAAAGCTAACTGTGCATTGTATGGCGTCACGACGGCGACATCTTCTGGTTTTACACCAGCCCCAATCAAATTTTCAACGTGTCTAGCGACCAGATAGGCTTCCATATCATTGCTCTTACTCTCGGCAAAGAGGGATATCTGCTTCTGCTTCGGCATCACAGCAGGTTCCTCGACTTTCTCTGGGAAATCTCCACCCTGGGTATCATAGAATACCAGTGGTTCCCGTGTGTCATCAGTCTCTTCAACTTCATAAGGCAAATCCTTAAGTAATCGCAGTTTCACTGCATCTGCGGCGATCAGCTTTGATTCATAAAGTTCTTGTGAAGGAAATTGCATGATTTTCTCATGCATCCGATACTGAGTTGTTAGCATTCGTTTGATGGCGGGACCATGCAGCGACAGCAAACGATCAAATAGCGTCATTTCGAGTGTCCCTCCTTTTGCTTTATGCTGGCCTACATTGTTATCCTTGTCCATCCTTAGGACTGATTGTTCGTCGTCTGGTGACTTCCCGCTTCCCACCGCCCCGCTAAATTTCAAAGTGGCAGACTTGACAGTTGGAGGCAACTGCAGATGGTCACCAGCCAATATCGCCTTGGAAGCAGACAACAGTGGAACCCAACATTGAGCCTCCAGCGCCTGGCTGGCCTCATCAATGATAACAACGTCGAATTTCTGGTTTCTCAGCTGATGCCCACCGGCGCCGTGCAATGTTGCCAGAACCACTTTACAATCCGTAACAAGGTTACCAACACATTTAGACTCTCGTTCTCGGAACTCTTTACGTAGTTCCTTCAGATCTCTGTAGATCTCTCTCCTCTCCCTCCCGCTTCTTGTCTTGCGTATACTTGCCTGTTTAACTTCTATCTCCTTCCTGATGTCCTTGACAATGGCGGCAGCGTCTGATGTTTGGATTAAAACCTCCAAGGAGTGATCCAAAACAGTTGATAGAAGGCGGGCGGGATGTCCAATTCTAACCAGGGGCACTTTGTGTGGAGCCAGTCGTTCGACAATATTATCCACTGAGACGTTCGACGGACCGCACACTAAGATACGAAGATTTTGGCGGAGAAATTGCAGGATTAATTCTATCAGTGTATATGTTTTTCCAGTGCCGGGTGGACCATGGATGAGCGCAATTTCTTTTGCTGCAAGTGCAAATCGGATTGCTTCCCTTTGTGAGTCGTTTAGTGTAGGATCAATGAACTCGATTGTCCCGATGGAACTCAAATCCACGGGGGAGGGTGTCGAATGCCCAAAAACCACCCTCATGAAATATGTGTAGTCTGACTCCGTCATGCTCCCCAATTTGGCCATAGTTTGCTTCATCCTGGGTAAAATTTTATTAGCAAGTATGTTCACGTAGTTTTTGTTACTGATAATAATATAATCTCACCGTCGGTATGTAATATCGTTCGCCAACTTCACCCTGCAATGTATGACCCATCAATCAGCCAGCAGATCCAGTGAGAACCAATTGTCTCCTTTTCCACCACATCAAACGAATAATGCACCAAAGCTCACATCCAAACCTTCTTTCCCCACAGATCCTCTACAGACTCTTCATCTCTCCCCTTTCCACCAGCGACCCTCTGCCCCCCAAACGCGACCCAAATACTCCGCTCCCCAACTCTAGTCACAACCCCCTCCGGGGCCTTATCCTTTCTCTCCTCCTCCTTTGATCCTCTTGCCCTACCGCCACCACCCCGAGTTCCCGCCGCCACATCCTCAACTCTCACGACATCGCCCACCCTCATCCCATGAGCGCCCAACCTCTGCGCTCCACCATCACCGTTCCCACCATCACCATTGCTATCCTTTCCACCCCTCGCCCCAGATCCAATTGCACTGTCCACGCCGAATTCGCCTACCTCACGTCCACCCATTCCCGTCCGACAATTGATGAGAACAAGGCCTATGAGTGCATAGCCTGCGGCTTGCAATGTGCGACGTGTTGAAGCGGAAATACCATCTGATTGTGCAATTGATGCAGAGAGCGGTGAGGAGGCAATTTCGGCTTCATGTTCTGCGAGAAGGAGTTCTGTTTGGGCTTGGGCGAAGGCTTGGATGGGGATTGGAGTCGGCATTGGGGTGCGGGGTATTGGAAAGGGATGAGGAAGGGGACCTCAATTAATTGGTATTTTTGTATATCTAGGTCGAATGTGGAGGGGCCGATTTAAGGATGGCAGACTGGGAATCGGATTCAAAAGTGAATGCCATATCACTTTGTTAAATGCGTGACAGCCGGCGAGCTTGATGCTCCTTATTGAAGCTGCCAGGAATGATTTGTTTTCAATGTGTGGCTGATGAGCGATGATGATGTAAGAGGACGAGGCCGTAGTCAACTAACTAGCTAAAGCGAAAAAGTAATTGAAGTATGGGACAATATATATTTATACCACATTACTCTGTAAATGTATTGTTTACTATTAACTATAGATTATTGTACATGTCTTTGTCACCCAATTTCCGTCCCGTCGACTTTGCACAGAGAATACAACAAACAATCAAAACGGTCCATCGTTCCACTAGGCCAGAATTGCGAATTTCTCGATATCCCCGCGCGTAAAAACGGAATTTCAATTGAAACCCCAGAAAAACGACATGTTATCAGGGGTATCCAGATATTCAGGATCAGAACTCTCCAAATCACCTACCTTCTTCAATTTTGATCCCTATCTTACTCTCCCTTTTTACTACCACCTCAGCCTCCTCTTTCTTTACCTTCCTCTCCTTCTTCACCTTGGCCGTCCACCCTTTGATCTCACTCTTACACAACCCGGTTCCCGCAAGCTCACACTCCCCGCATCTCCTAGCCACTGGTAAACATACCGTCTGCCCTAGCCCAACCAATAGCTTATTAATCTCATGCCACTTGTCCTTGGGCAACCAACTCTCCAGCGCCGCCCGAGTCTCCTCAGGCGTCTTTGTCTTATGCCATCCCCACAAATTCGTGATACGATGCACATGTACATCGACGCCGATGCCCTCATCACGGCCCCATGCGGAACTCATGCAGAGGTAAGCCATCTTCGGCCCGACGCCTGGCAATCGCATTAGTCCCTCCACAGTGGGTGGAATGTCAGAGTTATACTCGTCTCGAAGTATGACAGCAGCAGCCTTGATGTATTTTGTTTTGTTGTTATGGAAGCCGACACTCTGAATGAGTTCATTGAGGCGAGCTGGTTTTACGGCAAGGATGTTCTCGAGGGTTAAGGTGCTTTTTGTGTGTTGGTTGTTTTGGTCCCACACTAATGCTTTCTTTGCTTCCTGCTCCTGTTCCTCTTCCTCTTCTGCTTCTCTTTCAACTTTCACAGCCCTTTTCTCCTCTCTCTTCATAGTTTGCTCCCATTTCTCCTCTTTCTTCACCGTCTGCCGGCCCTCCTCCTCTCCCTTCACTGCCCATACTCCATTCTCCTTTATTGAAACCACCTCTTCTTCCTTCTTAGTAGAGACCACCTCTTCTTCTTCTTCTTTTATGGAGTGGCCCTCCTCCAGTTCCTCCTTCTTTACGATCAACGTCCCAAAATCCGCCTCCTTGTTATCACTTTCAGGTCCCAGCTCTGTATGCAACCGTTGCATAGCAATGGCAGTGACGGTATCTTTCGTCTGCGACGAAAGCATCAGGGCTATGAGGATGTGGAAACGCCTTTGACGCGGGGAAGAAGAGCGCCAGTAGAGCTGGGAGCAGCCCATAGTATCCACTGGTGCGGTGGGGTTTTTGCGACGCATTTCCTTGACGATGTCATAAATATTTTCCCAATTTGAGGGGGGTTCAACTTTGACGACCCCGTTCGCGCCGGTCGATCTACGCGCTGGTAGCCGCCGTGATCGAGGCTTTGGGGTTGGTTTCGACTCTGTCTCCTCCTTTTTGATGATAGTAGACTTTTCCGGTGTAGTGGATGTCCTATGTGATGGTGCTGTTGAAGCCGATCGCTTGATTTCATTAGGCAGGGGGTCATGATCCCGTTTCCTTTTCCGGTCTTGCGTTATTGCCCGCGCTGGTGCCAGGAGATCCTCAATGTCCGTGGTATTCGCAGAGGAGAGTTCAGAATCATCATGACTATCACTCGCGGGCTCGGCTTTTGCGGAGTTGCTATGATGGGAGGCTAACTCGCTTTGTCTCCTCCTGTCCGCTAGGGGATAGCTGTTAAGTGAGTTTTTCGCGTTGGCAATCCGCCGCGATTGGCGACGTGGAGTCGCTGACAGAATTTCAACAACCTTTGCAGTCTCCTTGGAGACTCGTGACGTTCTCATTTTGGGTTGAAGTAATATGTGTGGTAATATTCATACATGTGCTTGTCTGCAGTCGTCAAAAAGTTCGAACCCCTTTTTGTCAACACCAATCAGCGGATAATGAAAATCACGTGGCGATAAGCCAGTCCCACTCAGCCTCGGTACAATTGAGCTCCATTCTCATCAATAAGCTTCCATCATTCATGATCAGGAAAAATACTCCCAAAACGCTTCCAGGGGTATCTAACGCACAACCTTCCGCGATCAATAAAGACATCAAAGCAGCATGGCTCAACAGTCTCCCTCCGCCTCTACCACAAAACGGCTCATCCGTGAGCTCAACGACTACACCAAATCCCCCAACGAAGCTCTCCTACACCTCGGCCCCATAAACGATACGGACCTGTTGCGCTGGGAAGCAGTCCTCAAAGGCATAAAAGGCACGCCATACGAAGGTGTGTATTCCCTCCATTCCCTACCCACCTGCAATTCCCGAGCTTGTCCAGGAAAAAAAAAACAAAACAAAACAAAACAAGAAAAGACCACGCTAACAACCCTCATAGGCGGCCTCTGGCACCTAACTCTTACAATCCCGCCAACCTACCCGCTCCACCCCCCAGCCATAGCCTTTACGACCCGCATCTGCCATCCAAACGTCTCCTTTACGACGGGCGAGATCTGTCTAACCCTTCTCACCACCGAACATTGGAGCCCTGCATACACGTTGTCGACGACAATGTCAGCTATTCAGCAGTTGTTGACGGATCCTAGGCCCGAGAGCCCGCTTAATGTCGATGTGGCGGTGTTGATGAAGAGCGGGGATACTGTGGGATGGGAGGGGTTGGTGAGGTATTGGACAGAGGAGGAGAGGTGGGAGGGGCATGGGGGTCAGAGATCTCTCGAGAAGGGAAAACGATGAGAAACAGGGACAGAGGGACGGAGACAGAATAAGGGTTTGATGGATTTATATAGCTCTCTCTGTACTTGATATGAGGTGGGGAGCTCAAGGATCGAGGGATATATACACGCTTTTACACCCATACCATTTTTCTTTTCCTTGATTTTTAGTTGTATTTTCTTTTGGATTTCGGATACCCCCCCTTTCGCAGATTCTGGGCTCTATATGGATGGCGTGAGAGTGAGGCGAGATGTCTGCGATTTTTGAGCGCGGCTGATTGCGAATATGCTACTCGAATACACGGAGCACGTTCGAGCGATTTTTGGACCGGAAGTTAGCGTCCACTTATTCTCCAGTGGAAGCATGCCTGTAAGAGGTGGAATAAGTTTTGGGCTTCCATCAACGAATAAGTGTGTTTGTTATGCCGTCGAATGAGTATTTTTCTTTTCTTTTTTTCCTTTTCTTTTTGTTTTCTTTTTTTTTTTTTTTTTTTTGAGATACCATGCCGATTTTTATTTATCTATGTTATATCTACACTACTTATCCATATTCGCCGAGCTTTACTCTTAGAGCCATTCCTCGCGGAAAAGAAAGAGTGAACAAGCAAAAAGCTGATGTGCAAATAATTTCTTTCTCCTTCAACCGTCCCTCATACTCTGCATCTCTCAAATAATAATATTATTATTAATACAACGCTTGAAGAAGGCTTGATCAAGTGGAGAGTTACGTACACGCATTAAACTGATTTGCATCGATCTCATGACAAAACAATGAAAGGTTTGAAAAAAAAAAAAAAAAAAAAAAAAAAAGCTAGCAGTTCATTTAAAACTTTAACTAACAAACAAATATGAGAACAACCACATAGTTCAATCAGAAAATGCATTCATGTCAGGCCGTGGAAAAAAAAAGGAAAAGATTGGCGCGCGACACCCCCCATATATGTGTACCATCATCCCGGTCGTGATTTGTAACATTATTGAAAGCAAAAGGACAAAACCCAAGCGAACAAAAGCATTAACGAAACAGAGGCATTTAACACATCCAGGGAGTTCTAAGAGGTTTGTCTCTCTATTAAGATAGATCACCGCCTCTAACCCCCGCCAATGCCATTGAGACCACCTCACACAACCCCCCCCCCCCCTTTTCTTTTTGAGTAAAACTACAAGAGCCTCGAACAATGGTTCTTAACTGCGTTATGTGTATTTCGTCCCCTTTTTTCACCTTGACAGTACAAATTCTCCGCCTCACAACGCCATCACAACGGCAATAGCACCGCTGAGCCCAAGAACTGCTAACAACCCTTTCTCTAGATCGACAGTTATAATCGGTGCCGTATTTGTCTGCAAACCAGGTGGTCTTTGCGATGGGGATCCTTGTGAATTAGTTGGTGAAGGCTGGACAACGATGACCGATGTAATCGTACTGAGAGACCCATCTGAATTTGTGGTCGGGATGAGCGTGGTTGAGGTTCGCGGAGGAGGAGTGGTGGTCGGGTTGTTATTGGTAGTGAGCGGTGTGGACCTTGAGCTAGATCCACGGCTGGGGTTGTTTATGGAACTGGGTGGTTGGGGGGTTGGTTGGGGAGTTGGAGTTGGTTCTGGAGGCCCCTGAGAGTTGGTGGTTTCTGGAGGGGGTGGTGTCGTTGTCGAACTTGGGGGTGGAGGAGTGGTTGTTTCCGGAGGTGGCACGCTGGTAGTTGTGGGATCGGCTGTTGAAGTTGGTGGTGTAGGTGTTGGGGTGACGGAGCTGTCCCTGCCCGGGGTATCAAGGGGAGTGTTAATGGATGCTGATGGAACGTTGTCCTGTCGTTTGGCTAACCCATGTGGACGAGCAATGATATAATCCTCGAGGTATTTATCTCGGGCCCAGATCCTAGCTGGGAGGCCCTTGAAGAAACTGGAAAATGGTGTATTGGAGCGGGCTTGTCGCCCTCTTTGCAGGTCAACAGCGCACGCTGAAGTGATTAGGAGAAAGCCTAGGAGGAGCATCGAAATCCACGGTCGAATCATTTTGATTCGACCACCGTGGAATGATGAGCAGAGATAGAGATATAACTCTCAATATGGGTTTGGATTGGCACGGATAAGGAGAGAGAAATGAGGGGCCAACAGCCGATGCTCTCTGGGATATAGAGGAAAAGCCAGGTAGTTAAGCTGACGAATGCATAGAAGAAATGATGCAAGAACAAAAGGATTTGCTGGCTCTAGAAATATTCAAAAACACAGAGAGTCAGCAAAGAGCAAGAACAATAGTGAATTGGGAGAAAGGAAAGTTGCGAAAAAGGTATACCGAAAGAGTAAACCAAAATAGAAGAAGCTGTGAGACAACGGTTCACCAATGCATATAACCGGATGGAGAAAACAAAGTAGTGGAAGTCGAGAACGGATGCAAGAAGCGGCTTGAGAACGATTTCCGTTGAGATGGGTGAAGATACGCGGCAGGATTTTATTTACGCACAACTGTTTATATAGTGTTTATCGTGAACTCCATCGGCCTGGTGGGGAAAATTTTTAAGGTCTGGTGTCATAGCAACAACCTTACAAAGTATACAACAACAGATGGCTTGTCGGACCCGGATGAGCCAGCTTTTGAGGCCGAAAAGCAGGTCTCAAAAGTGTTCCCGGACTGTCTGTGCAGGCTCCTTCGCAGTGCAGCTCTTCTCCACGATCTGACGTTCTTGCAATGATTACAGCAAACCAGAAGCCAAGCGGGTGAAGCTAGGGCGGAATGGTTGGATTTTGGATTTCCCTCTAGCTGGTCCACTTTATACCAGGCTGGCAGTGATGGCGCGACAGCGCCACCGCCTAGGCGACAAGTTTCCATGGAAAAACCAGATCTCTGTTGCTGATTGGCGCTGTGTCTGTAGCCACCACCAGGCTGGCGCCAGTCTCCAAGCGGTCTCCAAGGGCTCCATACTGTGAGCCAGGAAGTTGAACCTCACTGCTATCCTGGGTAAGCCTCAACTTCGATTTCCATCAGAGTGGTTGATGGAGAGCAGCTTGGGAAGCTGAGACAGTTGTCACACCACCCGGCGCGGATACGATCCATATACGAGGTTGCGAGCATCGGATCTGGCTGAGCCTTATAGTGTCTGATGAACTGTAAATCCTTGCTTGTCGAATTGAAACACAGAAGAATTGGGCCTACGCGGTCCAGTCCCACAATATGGCCATTGATCCAATGGATCGATTTTGCTGTGGCCAGTCGGTTACAGCCAAAATCAGAAAATAACTCCAAAAAAATGGTTAGACCCGCTCCTCCTACCCATTCTGTTACAGATCTCTACGGCAAGCCACTGCTGTTCGTCGCGCTGATTTGATCTTGTTTGTTGATGACTCTCTTCACATGCGCCAAAAAAAAGCGGTAGTTCCCAAGGTTCTGACATGGAACTGTTCCGGGTTTCTAAATAAATAAGCTCCAGCTAGTCCCGACAACGGCTCAAAGCCTCCGATCGATCCTGGCTGTGTATCGGCGATTCTGTGCTCTCTGTTTCCTCTCCTTTCGGCAATTCGAGATGCCCCGAAGGGAATCAAGGCCTTGAGCGGAGCATGGCTCATTCTCTGACAACCAAAAAAGCCCAGACTCTTTTAGCTGAATGGGGGGAAAGAGAGAGGACGTCATTAGTACTGTACCAACCACATCAGGCCACGTCAAATGGACGAGGAATAAAAGCTGGCTGAAACGTTCAGTCTTGCTCTGCTGTGGCAAAAAACCGGATGCCCAGGTGTAGGTGAATATCATATCCACGCGTTCCATGGGGAGAAGCGCTTGCTGATTCCATTGCGTGGGTCGTGATGTGTGAAACCTGTGCAGCATTTCAATGGGCGGTCCGAACGGTGGAATCAGGCACGTAAACCTTCACGACTCAACAAAAACAAATCTGTAACTTTATATCTTCTCATGTTTATATTTATCTCTGTTCTAGTTTCATGGTCAAACGCTCAAAATATTCATCCAGAGCAAGTTTTTTTCCCCCTTTCTTTTGACCCTTTCAGATTGAACGAGTTTATGTTTGTTTTATTTCAGAAAGGGCGGCACAATCGTGTCGCGTTGCAGGTGTTTTCCATAGACGCACGTATTCAACTAATTCAGCTTTGGCGACTTTCTGAAGCCACCTGCCTGTGCCATATTTCATAGTCACTATTGGTTCCATTGATGTTGACATTATTGTTTCCCAATTGCTTACTCCATACAATATCTCAAACATAACCAATATCAATATTCCGTCCATTTCTCGATGTTTTAAATAGCTAACACAAACGGAGCGTCTTTCTCGATGCTCATATGCCGTAAGTACCCGGCTTTACTAGTAACAATCATGGATATGCAGATTAAGAAAAATAAAACCACTCCGTCTTGATGGAGAATCCCTTGGGAATTCGCGCCCTTCTGGGTGGTTTCCTCAACTTTTTGAGGCAATCCTTAGTTTAAGGAGAGATCACAACAAACCACGGATATGGACAAAAAACATACAAGAATTTTGCAAAAAAAAAAAAAAAGGCAAAGCCGGCTGGACACGATATCGCCGGTAGATGACGAGATCCTCCCTCCTGCTCCACCTTCCAACATCCGATTTTCCCGCCCGATTTCACATCCACATTCGCCTCTGGATTTTATGCGAGAAAATTTACCCGACTAGGCCGGCGCGATGAAGGTTACCCACATAGGATCGAGAAATCATGGAAATATTCAAATCAGGATGATCCATCCCAGCCGACAATGCCTGTGGTGCGTTCTAGGCGGTATTTTTCGGTCTATTACAGGCGGCGGTGTGATCACTCCAAATTGGACACCAGTGGGATGGTTTTTTTTTTTTTTTTTTTCCCCACGACCCTAGAATAATAATAATTATGATGACAAAGGTAGACCGCTCACTACCATCAACTTAGGGAACTATTGACCATGATTCTATATCCTGGGGCTCCTCGCCTTTTTTTTCCAGGCGAAAATCATTCAAAGCTGTCGGCCAATCTGGATCACACTACATCGGATTGTGACTACCCTCCACTCCGTGTGCTTTCAGGCAGCTGAATATCTCCTTCAAGGAACCGGATTATTTATACACTCGGGAGAGATGGGAGAGGGCCTAGCTTGCCCACACATGTATTTCAATTTCAATGTCTCGCCAAGGGAATGGACAGTGAATTGTACAGTACGTGCTATGTACGGATCGTGGTAGGATATTGAAATAATATGTGAATTCAGGGGCGACGTACGATTGTTCTATATATATATATATATATACGCCGTTGCTCTGAATTAGATTGCGGCCAGTGGGGCGTTTTAGATTGTTGCACCTTGCGATACCCAGCAATGGGGACTTGTCTCGATCTTCCTGTTAGTTCAACGAGAGACACCCATGGGAGGAGCGAACAGGGACAGACAGATAGACAGACAGACAGACAGACACCCTTTTTTATTTGCGAAAATTCTCCAATGTTCCTTGTCCAATTGGGGAATAATCCTCAAGATGCCACAGCGGACCGATTGAAGGTTTTTTTCTCGCCGTGGGTGATGTGCAGGGCAAACGTTACGCGGGCGTGGAGGCAAATGTGGAATATATATATATTTTTAAAAACAATTCGCTGGCCATCCCGATTACAGTGGAACTGTTCGTTTTATTTACATCTGCGAACATATCTATTGCCGCAGCAAACGCTGACTATATACACCTATGTTGTGTTGATATATAAATAAATGCATATTAACAAAAATGTAAAGCATCTTACCCCACCTAACCCCTAACTTTACGATTTAGCTGTTTCTGGAGGGCAACGGCAAGATGCTGCCAGGGTTCCGCGATTTCCCCCGTCCTCATGCAGTTGAGAACGATTAAAAGCTTGATTGGAAGGAGGGACGTCGAGAGCGGGGTTCTTCTCGAAAAACCCATCCGGTTTGAGCATGATGCTTATCCTTTCGACAGGCATGATGGGGAAGTCCTCAGGACGTGGATTGTGTGTAAGGCCGAATGCTGCAGTTTATAGTTAGCCACTACTCATCCTCTCCTTTGGGCTCTGTTGAAAAGGGCCATAAAAAGGGACTCGTGGGTTTTTTTTTTTTTTTTTTTTTTCCCCAAGACACCAATGTTCAGCAATGGGTTGGGAGTAACTCACTATGCCATAATACGACATCAGTGTTTTCAATATTATCATTCCTTCCCACCCATTCTTCAACACCAGAGCTCTTCTTGCTTTGGTTTGTGAACTCGCCAGCAGCATGGAGTTCTCCATCTTGGTATTTGGTCACCCAGATCGGCTTGGTCGCGAACTGTGCACGCCTCCGATTGAAACTGCGAGGACTCATCAACATCATCTGGCTAGGCAGAGTCTGCAGCGTGTAAGCTACCGGCTTGCGCGAGATTGTGTTGATGACGCTATCGTTGCGGATCTTGAAGACCCGGTACTTCTCAACGTTAGTATCGGCTGTCCCGGACCTTTTCAGCACAGTCGTTTCTGTTACATATCCAACGCCGTATGGGTTGGCCACAGGGTCATCTGGCATTGGCACGCTGTCTTGATATATCACGGTGTTATTATGTCCATCAATGGACGGGTCAACGCGCATGGAGAAGATATGCTGATGGAACGCCGCCATGACGCCGGGTCCAACATTGGTGCCCCACGGCACGGTGGCGCCGTCCTCATTGTTAATTGGCATGGTGGAAAGAATGCCGGTTGCGCGGACTTCCAGCTCGATGCTTCCTGCTTGATCGAAGATCCAGGCGAAGATATATTCGTAGTTGGAGACGGTGCAGATAACCTGCACGACAAGCTGGCGCTTTCTAACAACGGTGGCTTCCGCGGTGCGATAATTGGTGTGTTTGTATTGAAGCCCGGCGTCCTGTTCGTGCATACAGATTATGTTCTCGAGGGTGACGGGGTTTCCTTTGGAGTCGGTTCGACAACCGTTGAAGTATTTTATGTGGCCTAGACAGTCGCAGCCTAGGGAGAGTGTGTTGGCTGTGATTCCGAACCCGATGTCACCGGCATCGAATGCTTGTTTGCGGTGGTATGGAGCTCGAGGGTCTTGAAAGGCGTGAAATTAGCATGGTAATAGTTTTTATGGCTGAGGTTTTTTTTTTTTTTTTTTGACATACCGCCATATGGAACAGTCATTTCGCATACAGAAAGACGGTAAAAGACGCTGCGTTTATCATATGTAACACCGTACAGGACCAGGCCATCGCGGTAATTGAAGCCAATTCTGAAATCCCACTTTTGCCAGTGGACAGCATTGCCATTGACAGAAAAAGAAGCGCCCTCTGGTTGCTGCACGATGTATGGTTTAAGATCCGTTCTCAGCGGCTCATCCAGCAGGTCGTGGGCATATTCAACCGCTTTGACCGGCTTCCACGGACTGGTTTCGGTGGTCGAATGGTCCGTTCCGGTTGGGAGGTAGTCCATGCGCACAAGTTCATGGGTGAGACAATCGAAAACTGGAGAAAAGGGGAGTGGCAGTGAATAGTGATTTGCCTGTGCGTGGTTTGTTTCCGCCATGTACATGTAGCACTGGAACAACCTTCTGGTCTCGTTTTCATCGTCACAGCCGTAGATCCAGGGATCATTGAGAACGGTGACGCCAGATGGAAGTTTCAGCTTTTCAATTTCAGCGAGGACTGCGGGATGTTTGAGGCAGAGTTGCTCGATTTCGATTACCTCATCGATGTCGCCAGGTCCCTGTGGGAGCCCGTCAGAATCAATCAAACCCACAGGCACGAACAGAAACGGTTGGCTTCATATGTATCGTGTTGTGACGCATACCTGTACATGTTTGGGCAATTCCTTCGCCGAGATTACCGTCTTCGTGTCCAAATTGATGAGGGCCTTTAGGAAGGCTTTGGTATCAAGTCTGTGGAATAGTGATTGAATGATCCGAGCTGGCTTCGCGGGCAGAGGAGTGCCCAGTCGCTCTGCCTCAAGGTACGGCACGACATCTCGCTTGATAGGTTCTTGAATATCGATCACTTTGAACCGCAGAGATACCCCTGGAAACGATGCCTGGAGAATTTCCGCCGCGAGGCTGACCTCATTGGGACGGATAGGGTCAAATGGATGGGAAGTCATGGTGCGTCAAAAGAGAGATGAAACAAAAGCGTGTGGGAATATGGTCCTAGAGCGGTAGTCAACAGTGGGATGAAATACTTCCTGGCGTAAGTAGAAAGAAATAATTCCAGGAAGCGGAAGCAAAAACTGAGCTCAACCGAAGGAGAAATTTATGGTTGAGCCCTCTTCTCCTCAAGTAACCGCTAGTTATCGGACCTCAGCCTTTGTGGCGATGAGGTAAATATCTAGATTCCCATAGGAGGTTCTATGCCGAGATACCGTTGGAGAAAGACTGCCGAAACGCTATTGTCGATATCAGGCCGTGGTGGGAGCCCAGCGGACCAAGCAGGATCGGAGTCTCTTGAGCGATGGCTTTTCCCCCGCATCGCTCGTTGTGGAGCATGTGGTGGGGATGGCATCTGAAAACGGGCAAACAGCCCAGAGTACGGGATAATACATCCCACAGCCCCCGGGTGCATACTCGGTTCACAGACATATATACTGCATTGCATTCGTATTTATTATCAAACTATAAATTGAAATGCCGTGCTGGGTTTTGCGGGCTCAACAGAAATTGAGATAAAAGTCGGTTTTCAAACCCGATGGAGTTGGGCCATCATCGGTGCTCTGCGATCGAGCCGATTGTAAAGAGAGAGACTCCCAAACGTCCCAAAGACTTCTTTTTACTACAGCACTTTCAGAGGTTATAACTTAATCGTGTGGCTCAGTTGACTATGTCGAGTCGGAGAAGAATAATGTCAGGCATCCTCCGTACAGAGCCTCCAGTTGGGGCGCCAAGCCAAAGGTTTTATTGACAACACCAACAACCGACTTCACACTTGCGTACTCGGATATCAAACGATGATTTGGTTCTATACCAGCCGTTCATACACCAGGAACCAAGGCTACCTGATATCAGCGCGGTGATGGCGGCAGCCTTGAAAGGGATCTCAAGTTTCGTCAAGTTTCTTTTTCACTTGGGTTCGAGTTCCCAACAAGATCAGCCAATCTGGAATATCTAAATACCTGAATTCTCAAGGACAGAAAAAGCACATAGGTGCATTTGAATGTTGCTGATACGCGGATTCGACTCAGAAAAAATGTCGGGAGAGCAGCAGCTGATTGGCTCGTTCTCGAGCTTTTCACATCTACAGTCACCTGGGCAGCTAGAGGTTTCGTCAGGATGGATGGAGCACATTTTTCAACGCGGCCACTTCGTATCAGTTATTTGGGCGTGCGATCATGTCCTTTCTGGCCCTTCAGACACCCCTTCGGATGAACCGAGGGGAGAAGGGGAGACAATCTAAATCCAACATAGCAAGTGATTGACCCTGTGGCCAAGCCCTTGGATACATACTAGCGAGGTCCGCGTCGACTAACGGCTAGGCTGCCAAATCAATAATCTCGTCATTCAGATTCGCGATGAACAAGAGGCGAAGCGACCCTGTTGTTTGTTGCGTTTCCAAACAAACAAATTCTTGTCTCCAGGATGGACAACACCCAGACCGAAGCTGGGAAGCAGCAGTCTGAGCCGGACCAAAAGCCTCCATTTAAGAATTTCTGGGTATGGCGCTACGGCGAAACGACCAACCTTTCCTTACGATGTTCTACCGGAGTGAGATGTTTCGCTGACAGTGCCGTTTTTACACAAAGAGAATATTAGGCCATGGAACCCTCCTCGACAAGATTTTGATGGGAATTGCGGTATTATGTGCTGCAGGAGCAGGAACTGTACGGCATTTCCCTTTCGCCTACATCTTGCAAGGGATACTAACTGGCGGTTTAGGCTTTGCCTTTGATGAATGTTATCTTCGGTTGGTACTCTTAAAACCGAGAGTGTCACGGCCAGTGTAATTAGCTGATATCTTTTTCCATTCCTTAGGCAATGTTGTCAGCGATTTCAATGGATATTTCATCCCTGGCTCCGGTGTTACCAAGGAGAAGTTTCTTAGCAGTGTGAATCGGAGCGTGTGGGTATTCATCTAATCTCCTTTACATGCCACATGAAACTACCCACTAAATGGATGAGATATTCCGGACCTTGGATTAATACATTCCCAGGCTATTTATTGTATACCTTTTTATCGGCAAGTTTCTGCTTGGCTATATTTCCATGGTAAGTATATCTGGCCCGTGATCGGGGCTATAGGATACAAATTAACGGCATCAAGTTTTGTCTACGAATGACTGGGATCAGAATTTCTGCTCGGCTTCGTCTATCGTATCTTCAAGCTCTTTTCAACCAACCCATTAGTGTTTTTGATACACTCCCCGTTGGAAGGCCAACAAATACCATCACTACCTCCTCCAACACGATACAGGCAGGCATCTCGGATAAATTGGCCATACTTGTCCAATCACTGGCTCTGGTTATAAGCGCTTACGCCGTCGCGTTCCGCTTTTCTTGGTCATTGACATTGGTTGCAAGCGCTTCTATTTTGTTTATATCGATATTATATAGCCTCCTCGTTCCGATATACGTCAAACTGCAAAAGAAGGTTGAGCAAGCGGACGAAAAGGCCTCGTCGATTGCAGGAGAAGCGCTTGGGTCGATTCGTACCATTGTCTCTTGTTGTGCAGAAGGCCGGCTTGCGGCTCGTTATGGAGAATGGGTTGGGGAAGCGCGAAAACGAGGAATGCGGCTGGCACCACAGGTCGGTGCGCAGCTCGCGCCGTCAAACTTCGCCATGTACGGGAGCTATGCGTTGACGTTCTGGTTCGGCGTCAGACAGTATGCGTCGAATAATATTCCTGATGTTGGCCCCGTTATTACGTATGTATTTTCACTTACAAAGTATTCCGACTTTGACGTGCCTGTTTATCTAATACGCTTTGTTTTTTTCTTTCAATTCCCAAATAGGGTCATTTTTTCAGTTCTCATAGTGGTATCAACACTCTCTTTTCTTGCAACCCCTATTATCGCCATTTCCAAGGCGGTGAGCGCATCTACCTACTTTTTCGAAATGATTGACGCGCCAAAGCCTAAAACGTCGGGCTTGAAGGATCAAAATGTTTCAACCACCGATATCCGTTTCGAGGCCGTGAATTTCTCGTATCCAACCCGGCCCGATGTTAAAATCCTCAACAATCTGACCATTGATATTCCAGCTGGAAAAATAACCGCCCTTGTTGGACCCTCTGGTTGTGGCAAAAGTACGATTGTCGGACTGTTGGAACGTTGGTATCAGATTGAGAGCCAGTTTGAGGGTGACCCTAATAGTGACGCCCCACAAAGCGGTGATCCTCAAAACGAGAAAGTGCACGAGACAACAACATCCCCCAATAGTGGGTCAATAAAAATTGGACCTCACAATCTCTATGACCTGGATCTTAAATGGTGGAGATCCCAAATCGGATTGGTGCAACAGGAACCATTTACGTTTAACACAACCATCTACCAAAACGTCGCCTATGGTCTAGTGGGATCAAAGTGGGAAAACGAATCCGAAGAAGTGAAAAGAAAACTTGTTGTGGAAGCCTGCCGGGAATCGTTTGCGTCAGAGTACATTGAAAAATTGCCGCTGGTAAGCTTTACCTTGTTCCATCCATACCTGAATTCTCTTTACAACTTGTACATTAGGGATATGACACCATGGTTGGAGAGAATGGCTTGAAACTCAGCGGCGGCCAGCGCCAGAGACTTGCAATTGCTCGAAGCATTATTAAAAGGCCGCCCATACTTATCCTTGATGAGGCAACAAGTTCAATCGATGTTCGAGGAGAACGTATTGTTCAAGAGGCACTTGATCGAGTATCCAAAAATCGCACGACAATAACCATCGCCCATCGATTATCCACGATAAAAAAGGCAGATAAAATCATCGTTCTGAGGGCAGGAGAAAGCATTGAGCAGGGAACACATGAGGAGCTGCTTGAATTCAAAGGACTGTACCACACGTTGGTGGAAAATCAGCGTCTCGAAATGGGAGAACAGGACCCTGATATCCAAGGCCAGGCCAGTCCAAAACGTCAAGTTGAGGATATGCAGAGCATCCTCAAAGAAGCCTCAAGAACCGATGATGCTGGTGGGCCTGACCAAGCGCCTGTGCTTACGTATAAAGCGAGATCGCTGGTCAATTCGGTCGGCCTATTCCTCTGGGAACAAAGAAAGCTTTGGTATTTGGATGTTGCCATTGTTATTGCTGCTGCGGGCTGTGGATGTAGGATATCCCGTTATGTTACTCATCTTGGGATGTATGATTGTCTCATGTGCGTATGTAACTGACACTTCGTTACCTAGCCGCCTTTGCCATCCAGAGTTATATATTTGCACAACTCACGGCCGTGTTTCAGCTATCTGGTGATCAGCTGATTAACCGAAGCGAATTCTGGGCCCTAATGTTCTTCATACTTGCCCTTGGTGTTGGGTTTTTTTACTTCGTACTGGGCTTCTCGTCGACAAGTCTGTCTGCAGTAAGTTTGCATTTTGAACCCTCACCTATTATATAGCTAATTGATATTATCAGAATATTTGCGGCACATATCGACAACAATACTTTGAGCATATCATTGCGAAGCCGATCGAATTTTTCGACGAGGAAGGAAACTCGACGGGCTCATTGACATCTCGACTCTCGACCGATCCGACACAGCTCCAAGAACTTGTTGGCCACCAAATGGCATTCCCTCTCATCTCCGTATTTAATGTTATTGGTTGCGTCTCTGTTGCATTTTCCTTTGGCTGGAAATTGACTTTAGTCGCAATATTCTCTGCATTTCCACTAATTATTCTAGCAATGTTCATTCGGGTCAGATATGAGATACAATTCGAGAAACTGAATGCTGCTGTATTCGAGAGCAGTTCGCAGTTCGCGTCAGAAGCCATTTCCGCATTCCGCACAGTCACTTCTCTCACTCTAGAGGATACCATCACCACCCGTTATTCTGCTCTTTTACAAGACCACGTAGAGAAAGCTTTCCTGAAGGCAAGATTTGCAACGCTGATCATCGCCGCGTCGGATAGCATAGAACTTCCATGCATGGCATTATGCTTCTGGTAATTGGGTTAACTTTGTGACTTCACAAAACAAATGGCTAACATCTATGCTTAGGTATGGAGGTCAACTACTGAGCACGCGCGAGTACGATGTTCTGCGTTTCATGGTTATATATATCTCTGTGGTCATGGTAGGTACACATTCTGTACTTAAGCATTAATATTTGCTAACACGGAACATACAGGGTGGCCAAGCAGCGGGGCAATTTGGCAGTTTGACACCGAGTGAGCTTAATATCCCTGGAATATTTTTTCCCCCAGTTATATATCTAATTTTACGATACAATCAGATTTGGCACAAGCCACGGTAGCTGCCAATCGAATATTAAGCGTCAGACCCTCTGAAAATAGCAATGATGGGGGAAAGGAAACCGTCGGCCGCTTTGAAGGGGGAGCTCAAATCGATTTCAAGTCTATTAATTTTAAATATCCGACGAGGGATGTAGTTGTGTTCAAGAACCTCAGTTTTACAGTGTGTATACCCATCCCTTTACACCATTTTATACCGACGGGAGGATCTAATGTTAATAATAACTAGATTGAGAAAGGTCAATTTGCCGCCTTGGTTGGGCCATCTGGTACGTCTCCTGCTTGTAGAAATCATTTAAATGTATCAGTGAAGCTCACTGGTAGAAGGATGCGGCAAGTCAACCGTCATCGGATTGCTTGAGAAGTATGTGTCCAGATCTACTGCTTCCTCCTTTTGCTCCATTGTTATGGGCATATTCTGAATTTCCACATTCGTTATAGGTTCTACGGATACCAGAGCGGTACCATCGCAATTGACGGACACGATCTGAACACCCTGGATGTATCCTCATATCGACAGTCTGTTTCGTTAGTATCACAAGAACCGGCGTTATACCAAGGTATGAAAGCCAAAACAACAACATCCTTCGAAACTTTCTCTAGAAGTGGAACTTTACTAACTGGTGTATAAAGGATCCGTGAAGGACAACGTTTTACTAGGCGTTGATCCGGCCCATTTTACCGACGAGGATGTCCAACAGGCATGTAAAGATGCGAACATTCACGACTTCATCAGTTCGCTCCCAGAAGGTCAGTAGCAGGAACCCATCCATATTTCCATATTGCACTCTTCCCGGATCCCTCTCTCCCACCAAGATACTCACAACCAATATCCGGTGTATGTAGGTTACAACACAGACGTTGGCGTCCGCGGGTTAGCGATGAGCGGCGGCCAAAAGCAGCGCATATGTATCGCACGGGCTCTCATCCGCAACCCCAGCATCCTGTTACTTGACGAAGCGACATCCAGTCTCGACTCAGAGTCGGAGAAACATGTACAGGAAGCCATTGAAAGGACAGCCAAAGGGCGGACGGTGGTTGTAGTTGCACATCGATTGGCTACGGTCCAAAACGCCGATGTCATCTTCGTCTTTGGCGAGGGCGGGATTGTAGAAACAGGGACGCATTCCGATTTGCTGAAGCGGAGAGGTATTTACTATCAAATGGTACGTTTTGGATTTGCTTTTCCCCTTTTTCTCTTGTTAATGCCTTTTCATTATGTTCAGTAAGTACCCTTTCTGGAATAAAAATGGATCGCTAAGTGTGTTGGGAACCAAAATGCAGTGTGAATCTCAAGCGCTAGATCGGTAGAGGCTTTCTGCTTCGTGACCGTAAATTCGGGAAACCTCCTTAAGCAAGTCTTTTTGTTAGTTAATCAATCACTTCTCTCCTCTCTCACCTTGCATATATCTTGAACTAAACTAAACTCACTTATATTTGTATTCGATTCTGGTTGTATTTTGCTCTCCTTTAATACATGTGTACATTATATCTACTTCTATTAGAATTACAATAAAACAACCTCAACCTCAACATCTTACTCCCCTTGTCAGACCTAATGATAGAAAGAGGGGCCGGAGCAAAAAAAATCAATTCAATGCCCACTCCCCACGCTGGACGTCCATCTTTCCTGACAGCGGACCATGCGAGTGACATCAAACGCAAAATCCTGACGGAGAATGAACCTAGCAAGTTGCAATCCTGGTAGGACAATGTGGTTGGAAGTCAGGAGGAGGGGAAAAAAAAAATCACTGCACGAAAACCCCCCCCCCCGCGCGCACTGGATGAGGGAGAGACAAGACACAAATCTTGATGACCTCTTCGGTGGATGTTATGGGGGGCTCACCGGTGATTTTTAGAGGGTAATGCCAGCACGTCGGCGTCGAGTGCTTTGCGGCATTGGCAACCGGACAGGCTTCCCTCAGTTAACAAACAACGCATTGGTAATCTGGTGGCGTTTTATCTGTTGTGGCGTGGCAAACATGATTGACACCCACTGATCTATGTCTAGTATCCATAGAGGAGATGTTGAATGCTGTGTGGCGCTGAGCAACAAAAACAGCGAAACCCCCCCCCAATCAAAAAATCCACGAGAGGGGGGAAGGGAGGAAAAGCGCGCTGTTGATGTTTAGTTGAAAGGATGAAATTTGCTTGCTGGGAGTAACTAACTAACTTGCCTTGCTTTTTAAATATATAGCGCTGTTGGCTTTGCATCAAGGTATTTATTATTTATTGACTCAGTAGTATATATAATTAATTCCATCTTGAATCACACAACCAAACCACCATGGCCACACCAACCGAATGCAATGCCATGCCCAACTATGGAAAATTCCTGGCCATGGGATTTTCCTGTGAAAAGGGAATTATTTCAACTCGGACCTTTCCTAGTAGCTAACTAACTTAAATAAAATAAAATACATAAGAGTAGTAATAAAAACGGAAAAAGCCATTTAAAAAAAAAAAAAACCCATTTCAAAAAAAGGATCAGAATTCAAGAATCGAATCGAGAAGAATAAATAAATAATAAAAAATGTTCCTCGCTTCCTCACTCGCTAACCCCCCTGAACTTTACCTCCCCTCTTCCCCCTCCCTCCCCCCTTTTCCACCCCCTTTCCACCCCTTTCCCCTTTTTCCCCGATCAGCCAGCCTGATAAACCGCCGGCCCCGCCACAACATGCGGGTTAATCAAGCTCAAATTAAACGGCGTGAGAAACAGATCCGTATCCGTGACCGCGATGAAAATCGTCCCGTTGATGCCCGGGTCGCCCTCGTACGTCGAGAGGTCGGGTTGTATCGTGCGGCCCGAGCCGCCCGACACGTTACTCACATTACCCGCGCTACTGGCGTTGCCGCCGCCCAAGCCGCCGCCCACCACGTCCGTGAGCGGCGAGTACGTCACGTTCAGCTGCGTCACCCAGACGACGAACGCGGGGGGGCCGGCGCGGGAGCTCGCGACGTAGCTCCCGTTTGGGCCGAGGGGGGCGTCCGGCGCGTCCCAGTGCAGCAGAACCGGGCGGCCTGGGTTAGAGAGCGGGATGGAGCGGTTGCGCGTGATGGCGGGCCCGCACTCAACTCCGGTCGCGTTCACGGTCGTGGTGCCGTTGGCGGTCGCGTTGCCGTTTGTGGTCGCGTTGCAGCGCTGCGGCGGCGGGATGGCGGTGTCATTCGCGGAATTGAGCCAGGCGCCCAGCGTCTCGTTGTCGGCGGCGGAGCCGTCGGTGCGGAACGGGTTGGGCTGGCTGACCACGCGCAGCGCGGGGAAGTTTTGCCAGGCGAGGCGGGTCTGGTTACCAGGGCACGAGGCGATGTACGGGCTCAGCAGCGACCAGGCCCAGGACTGCGGGATGCCCACCTCGAACCACTCGGGCATGGGGAACAGGCCCAGGAACTGGCGGAAGATGACGTGCTGGCGCGCGGCGACGGCCACGGAGCGGAGGAGCATGGAGGCGGCTGCGCGCGAGTTGAGGTGCGGCAGCATGCCGTAGACGCCCGCTTCGTTGGTTCGGGTGAGCTTCTGGGAGAAGTCGAGCCATTCGCGGACGTCGGTGAAGTTGGGGTAGTTGTAGTTGCATTGCTTGGGCGCGGCGCGGCCGAGGATGTTGGAAAGCATCGTTGCGCCGCCGATTGCTTGCCTGCCCATGAATCGAACGAGATAGCGGTCTTCGGAAGTGAGGTTTGCCATCTGGAAGTCCGCCTCAGAGAAGCGGGATAGGCCGTAGTTGAAGAGGTCGACCTCTATCCATTTGAAGTACAGGACGAGAGCCTACACATCCCAAAGCAAGGCGTTAGATGAGTGAAGTTTGCAGATATAACTAAAAAAGAAAAGTGGGGGAGGTATAGAACGTACAAGGGACTGGAAATCATAGTCGCTCCTTGCATTGTAAACGGGCATGGTGCCGTTCGTCCCGAGGCCGCCTGCGGGGACGTATGGAGCCGGTTGGGGGTCGTGAAGGCGTCCATCACTGGGATATGTCGTTGCATTCGCCGGAGCGGGCTTGGGAGAGATCGCCGTCCCCAAAATGGCCGTCCCACTCAGAGCGCCGGTAACAGTGGGAGTACCTGTGAAAGGGCCATGAGAGACATCAATGCCGCTGACGGTTGGAACCGACGCTGGCACCACGACATCGTCCGCAAAAGTGATGGACGATTGCGCTGATATCACAACAGCGCAAACGCTCACAAAGAGCCATATCGCTGCCTTTTCGAGAAACATTATCTTCTATGTGTACGGGACGTTATAACGACTTGGGGTGCGTGATTTTGGGGGGATATATAGTGATCAGAGGTCACTGTTCTGTAACTTCATGCGGCCAATTTTATAAAGGACCACATCTCCATCAAAATAAACCTGAATGATCTAAAACGAATGCCATGGGAGGCGAAAGGTTGGAAATGAACTGCGCCCCGTGTACTTCCATTGCTATAGGCACAAAGGTACAGATGGTCCAACAAGCTGCTGGATAAACAGCAGCCATGTTCAAAGTAAAGCCACTGTGACACGCACTGATGAACGCATAATGAGCCATAGCGTGGGCCACACTCCGGCGAACACCGGGCTATTTGAGTTCTATATGATCCAATGGAGTTGGAGCAATAGCTGAAGAATCGTAGATCGAACGCTTTGGCAGGCCCACGCGTCGAGCTCGGCGCATCTCACGCAACGTGTAGACTTTGCGCCGCGGGAGTTTAATATATTTCGGGGGATCCCAAACTTGTATATCATGCTTTCCACAGGGATCCGCGGAGGCTATCCGAAAATCAAAAACAAAAATGGATTGGGCTTGTGTGTTCGATCAGGTAAACCCAAGCCGGTGCGCTGCCTCAGTTGAAGAATTAGAAGTGTGTGTGGGTCGACCGCGGAGCAAATGATGTCATTTCAAACCTTATTTGCAATAAGGGACGCTGATCGGGCTTTTCTATCAAACTTTAAATTGTGGGTTGATATATACAATGTTCAACAGCGAGATTGACTCTGCACGCAAGGTAAATTATATAAATATATATATAGTAGATATATGTATGGTAGGAAAATAATCCATACATCTTTTTTATAATAATGCTAATCAAAAAAGGATGAGAAAAACAGGGGATGAAATATTCGAAATCCAATCACATCTACAAGAAGAACAATTCCCAAGTATGATATCATGCTTAAATCACTCTAGTGTTTTGTACGTCGCATGAGGCAATGACGCGTTCTTTTTCTCTTTCTCTTTTTGTAAGGTATGGATGGCTCAACGAGCCAAGCAGAACAAAGAGCACATAACTCAAAAAGCCAGAAAACCGAAGGGAAAAAAGAGGAACACGTTCTAGTCGGAAAGCTTGCTCCCCAAATCGGCCTTGGGAGGTGGCAACATCTCGTCGGAAAATCGAGCCGGAGAAATAATATCATCGGTCGGGTTCCCAGGTCTGCCTTCGCCACCATTGCCAGGAAGAGCAGTGACGCCGACGCCGAGCTTCTTCTCATTCGCGAAAAGCATCGGGCTGGTCCGCTCGAAATACGACCGGACATGTGCATGCTTAAGGCCCTCATCCAGGTCATCCTCTTCGAACTGCAACTCCTTCTCCGCAGCCTGTCGGGCCACGAGCGCCTCCCAGTCGCCGCGCATCTCGTCGACCTTGCGTTTGTAGTCCAGTTCGGGATCGTAATACTTGCCAGCGCCGCGGATGCGTTCCCAGAGTGAGAGATGCTTTGGGTGGACGGCTGGGCCGTGGTATTCGCTCTCGCGGCCACTGCGGAGGAAGTACCAGCGGCGCTCCTGCTCCTTGAGATCCAGGCCGGTGGTATCTGGGAGGAAGAGCCAAGTGAGAACCATGCCCGCCAGGCCGAACCAGGGGACGACGTAGAATTTGGTCTGGGTGTCGATGTAATTGTAGAGGATGGCAGCGAGGAGAGCACCGAGTTTACCGACTGCGGCGGCAAAGCCGTGGGCTGTCGCGCGGATCGGGGTGGGGAAGACTTCTGCGGCGACGAGGAAGGTTACCGCGTTGGGGCCGAATTGATTGAAAAAGCTGCTGAGGAAATACATGGCCTGGAAGGCGTGGATGTGTTCTGGGGAGGTGTAGTATTTGAAATTGAAGGCGGGGATGACGAAGAAGATGAAATCCATGAGGAATCCAATTTGCTGCATCCATTTCCGGCCGTAGAGTTTGTTGTCGATGAAAAAGGCTAGAATTGGATGGTTAGCAAAACGACTGAGAGGGAGGGGAGAGAGAGAGGGAAAAGCGAAGTGGGTTTTGTTGTGCTAATATCATAACATCGGACTTACCGGCCATATAATAGCCCATCAGCGAAACACAAACATTGATCATGTTATACAGCCAACCGGGCATAATCGAGTGGGAGTTCGGGCTGATGACAGCGATGAACTCACTCTGGAAGAGTTTATTACCGTAGAAGAACACGTCGTTCGCAAACCAAGTACCGGCAGTCGCGATCAGACGGGGACCGAAGTACTTGAAAGTCAGAGCCAGAGACTGGGTGTCGTAGCCGGTGACTTTCGCCTTGGCCTTCGCAATCGAGAGCTGCTTGCTGGCTGCTTTCATCTTGAAGTAACGATAGTAGACCAGCCAGAGAGTACCGAGGGCGGGGATGGCGAAGGAAACACGGTAAGTCCATTGGGCAGCCAGGGCCGAGTAAGGAGGGTTCCCGCTGCCGTGGTGAAAACAGAGGAGGAGGATGATCAAAAGGGCCTGGTTGAAGAACTGGCCCCAGCCCTGCATCAAAAAGGCGCTGGTCACTTTGCGGCCACGATGCAGCCGATCTTCCTTGGTGGAGATTTTACCAGATCCCACGGCGTTTTCCATCCCACTGGTGGCTGTCATCGGGTATTCGCCTCCTACACATACAGGTTAGTGGATAGAATGATAGATATATATATGTATGTATATATATGTATTTCAGATGACAATCGGGGGACGTGGATCTTACCGACTCCCACACCGTAGAAAAAGAGGGACCAGACATAGCAGATGACCCAGCCATTCTGGGTGACGCCCCAGGCGGCAGTGAGCATCACCAGCCCGAGAAGCATAATGACGGCATCTTGAATGAGACCAAACCGCCGGCCCACCCTAGATAGACAAAGAATGTCAGGTTCAGTTAAAAGGAGTAGGGAAAGGAAAGGCAAGGGAAAGGATAAGGAAAGGAAAAGAAAAGGAAAAGAAAAGGAAAGGAAAGAATTGCGTACCAGTCGCCAATAACCCCGACGATGATCTGGCCCACGATGATGCCGCAGATTTCCAGATACTCCACCGCGGCAATCCAGGTGGGATTGCAGATTTCCTTCGTCTGCCAGCATTCCGGGAACGCCCGTTGGAACAGCGGCTTGATGTTCCCGATGGAGAACAGGACGTAACTGGATGTACCGATGGAGATGTCAGCGGGTTCCCTTCTACCCTTTTATGCAAACAGAGAATGAATAATAGCTTTCAACGCCCAGGAACAGCCCAAGCAATAATCCCATTCCACAGACTGCCAAGGGCTGGGCAGTCAGCCCGTCCCGTCCAGTCCTTGGTCCTGCAGCAAGTGGACAGTCGCCAAGAAGAGAGAAAAAGAAAAAAGAAAGAAGATAGATACTCACCCTTCCAGACCCAGACCGGCGCCGGGCAGCACCATGTTCTTAAAATAATAGCCCACTGGGGCCAGGGGATCGTTCTTGAACATCTTCCAGAAGCTGGCAAACTCCCTGGAGGTCTCGGCGGCGTCATACTTGCTAACGAAGGCGATACGGCGGAGCAAGGGCAGGTCGGCCCAGTAGACGCCGTCCGGGGTGTAGCTGTCGTTGGGGCGGATGTAGGCATCGAAGGCCTCCTTCTCGCTCAGGTTCATGTCATGATACTGGGTGGGTGTCCTGTCGTTGTCGTTGTCGTTGTCATTGCGGGCGGTGGAGAGGGAGAGCACGTCGGAGCCAAAGTCGGCCATGGCGGAGACACCCCCCAAACGGAGTGTACTACTGTACAGTACTGGATAGACAAGAAGATGCCAACAGACAAGGGGCCAATCTTTGCCAACCGCTCAATCGCTGCTCAATCGCTGCTCAATCGCTGCTTAACCGCTGCAACTGCAATTCTGGGTGGGACTGGCGGGACTTGGATCTTGCTTGGCCTTTGCTTGGCTTGGGTCGAGCTGCCGTCTTGGTATTTATGTGTCGCAGGGCGATCCACGAGGGAAACGATCCTGCACAGACTGACGGTCAGTCAGGGGGCATCCAAGCCACGTTGTGGGCAAGAATGGCTCCATCGAGTCCATCCAGTCTGCGTGCTCCATCCAACCCACGGCCCACGAGGGCGTTCTTGGAGATGGAGATGGGAAGCAGCCGCCGCCGCAGCTGTCCACAGCCAACCACCGCCAAACACCGCGGGCACGTTCTCCCTTCGCGGGCGCTGAGTGGAGCAGGCAGGAGGCGGGCCATCCTGGGTTGGGGTTGGGATTGGGGGGAGAGGGAGAACACTCACTGGGGGGGGAAGTTGAGAAACAAGCAATGCCAATACTGCTAGCCCGTGCGCAGTCCCGTTTCTCGTCTGCCTCGTCTGCCTCGTCTACTTCTTCTTCTTCCTCTACTTCCTCTTCTTCCTCTTCTTCTTCTTCTTCCAAACTCTCCCTTATCGTCGCAGCACTTGGTGTGGGTGGGGGGGGGAGGTAAAGAGTACCGCTGCAGAGGGGAGAGTGAGTGAGAAGAAGAATGTATCCCTGGGGAGAGAAGAGGAAGAAGATGAGAGAGAGAGAGAGGGAAAAGCGAAGGTTGGGAAGGTTTGTACTCTCCCACGGCGCGCCAACCTCGACTCCCCCCACTATGGGATATCCATCTCCGGCGGATATCTCCAAGGGACTCGTCATGGGCTGTCCACTGTCCACCCACTGTCCACTCACACTCCACTCACGCTCCACTCACACTCTGCGGGGTCCACTCCATTGTCCCATTATCGCTGTCTCTGCTAGTATCCTGCGGTATTCACTGTATTCACTGTATTCACTGTATTCACTGTGTCCCGCTGAAAAGGTTCCGGTTCCAGTTGGAGCTTCCACTTCCAGAAAGGGCAGACGTGGTGTGTGGGTCGGCGCTGGCTAATCACTGACCAATCACCGGCCGCGATGCCACCACGTTGTGTCACCCGTCGCCGCCAGTGGTCCTGTCTGCCCGAAAACGGCGCTGACTCAGGGTGCGGGTGGGGGCGGGGCCTGGCGCCTTGCCTTCTTGGGAATGGTGCCGCGTCCCACACTTGCCCCTTTTGGGGGTTGGCAGGAGAAGACTTTCAGCAGTTGCCGAGACCCAGGATTCCCCAATTCCCGGGCTCGGCTGCAGATCCCCCCAATCGGAACAGCCCTGTGGTTGGGAAAGCCAACCCCCGCCTGCAGACTCCACGGAGATAGAGATGCTGATAATAGATCCAAGGCGCATTTGGGATCCGCGGTTCCAGTTCAGATGCGTGGCCCACTGTCTGTTTCTAGTAGCTATTGTTGCTTCTCATTCTGGGTATTTGTATTTGATCTGCCCCGCCAATTTCCCTGCGCCAGATCGTGGATGCATGATGATGGATAATAATAGATGATGGATAGTAGATAATAGATACTAGGCGATGGATGCAACACGCCCACGTCTCTCCAGACATGGCAATCCCTCACGCGATCGGAGATCCCCTTTCCTGCCTTTCCTGCCTTTCCGGGAATCAGGCCCGGGGATGACGACGTGCTGTGACGTATACACTTTTTTGGGCTGCGTTGTATATAGATAGCGATGGCTGTGCGCCGTGCGACGTCGGGCTGCTGTATTATACATCATCTATCTGTATGGAGAGGGGGAGATATATTTGTACCTTGTAGATACACATACATACATATATATGGATATGGATATATATATAATATGTAGTACTGGCATTCGTAAGAGGTCGGTGCGGCGGGGATGTTATATACGGATATATATGTTGATATAACTATCTAAGGTGGCAAGAGACATCGCTTCTGCCGGGGAAAGGGGTAGTTCTCGAGGAAATATGGAATATGGAGAATGGAAATCAGGAGTGTTGCTACAGAGATATATATGTATATATATATATCCATGGATATAATTCATCCCGCCGACTGACTCCCCCAAAAAGGCATCATCTCATCATCTCATCACCACGAGCCCGCTTTCTTCAGGAAGCGGAACTCCCCCTCCCCCTCCCCCTCGTTCTCCCCCTCACGCACGCGCTCCAGGAACGAAACAAGCCCCAGCTGGCCCGCGAGCCGCCGCACGAGCTCCACCGCCCCGCGCATCTCCGCTCCCGTGACCCCGAGATTCCTGCAGCCGAAGAAATGCCTATTTGTTTCGCATACCCCCCAGCGAAGCGAGCGTCAGTATATATATCCATATATATATATAGATCAAAGAAACAAGAAACAAGAAAAAAAAAAACCAAAACCCACCCCTTCGCCTGCGCCCCCACCCCGTCCGCCAAACAGCACACAAACTCCAGCAGCACCGTCTCGCGCCCGTCCAGGATCCGCGTCTCGGCCATCAACTCGCCGTAGATGCTCGACACCGCGAAGTAGCTCAGGTCGCCCGCCGAGCTCGCGCTCATCGACGCCAGCACCCGCTCCGCGTGCTTCGCGTAGATCTGCGTGAAGAAGCGCTTGCCGCGCGCGTAGCGCGCCTCGGCGCTCGGGAACGTCGAGAGCGTGCG